AGGGTCGGGTATCAATGGTCCTCCGAAGGCTAATGGGACACCTCCTACTGGATGTGGAATTAGTATCTAGGTAAAGCAGATTTTTTTGGTTTCCTCAAGTAATCCGATGACTGGTGCGAAGATTTTGTCATTTAGTTCGACAAATTGAGTACTAATAGGTTGGATGTTAGAGGTTTGGGAAGTAGCAGATGATGAAGCCATTGAGAGGGAAATATAAGTAGAAATATAGAAATAATACAAATGATATGAGAATAAATTAGTGGAGAGAATCTTTAAGGGACGGTTTGTGAAGCAGGGAAAGAAAGTGAGGATGAAGAAGATGAATAGTTTTGTGTTTTTGAAAGAAGAGATTTTTCCCGGGAAGCCTAGTGATATGATGGGTTTGGTATAGGCCCATATCCAAATAAATTGAATATTTAGAAATAAATTCAGACCAATGACAAGCAAAAGAGTGATGATGCAGACAATCATATCTATTACAAAAAATTTGCATTTATGAGGAGAATAAAAATAATAATGAGAACATGGGTTAAAATAAGTTTTTTAATAAAGTAAGGATAAAATATTTAAAGTTGGTATACATATACTCATTGACTATTCATGTTGTATTATCTTATGGAACATTTTGTTAAGTCTAAAATTTATAAAAAGATCGAAAGAATGAATCGAGAAAAAAGGGATAACAGATAGTTAGAGGGAATAAATATAGTAATTGAGAAAGATATATTATCGAAGCAGAAGAATAGTCAGTATTGAGTTTTGAAGAGGTCAGAACATCAACAAATCAAGAATTGAGGAATTAAAGAGTGAAGAACATCGACATACAAAGACAGGATATATCAAGAGAGTGAAGAACATCGACATACAAAGACACAATATATCGAGAGAAAGTTATATTGGAATATCTTCAAGTGATATATCGAGAGACTTATAGAGACGGTTATAATACAATTCATTAAAATGAACAGTTACAAATAAATATGTATCTATAAGGTGAAATGATAAGAAACAGTTACAAGAAAATAACCGTTTAAAGATTCTAATTTATAGTTAATTTTTTTTAGTTTATTATTTTTATGACACTCTACGGGTTAAAAAAAATATATGTGATAAAATAAAGGTAATAGGGGTAGTTGTCAAATTATATAACTTACATTCTAAAAAATACTACTGAACTGGGAATAAACATTTTCAATGTACTTCTTTGTAATTTGAATTATCACTATCGTTGATTTCTTTTATCAATTTCTATTTAATCCTTGATAATGAATTAAATTTATCTTTCTATCATTTAATTTCTTGCATATTTACTTTTAAACAATTTACTTTTATAATTTTTTTACTATTTTTATAATTTACTTTAAATATTTCAGATTATATTAAACATAAAAATTAAATATACATTATTTTTAATTAAAATATTTTATATATTAAATTTTAAATAAAATTAAAAACCTATATAATAATATTTAAGTAATTCATGTTGTAAACCAAACAAGTATATCAAATAATGAATTACTTCCATTCAAAATAACTATATTTTTTTATAATCTTATAATCTAGTAAACATTAAAATAGATCCATCTGTTGATGACGTGTTAAACTTGATTTATCTTTAATTTTTATATTAGACTCTTAATCCTTTAAAGAAAACTTTATATGAAGTGAATAATCAGTCATTTCTTACAAAATCACAAACAAATAAACTTACCATCACAAACAATCACGTAAATCATGACAAGATAGTCCACTTATGATCTCACTTCATCACATCATTAGTTTTTTTAAAGTGTAGGGTCATATATTAAATTTTAATATATGTATTCATTTTAAAAAAACAATATATTAAACACACATTTATTATCATTGAGTTAGTTAAACACTGTAAATATATTATATTTAATAAATATAATATTAATATATTTAAGAATAAGGAAATGTATCTTTTTTTAATACTCTCAGTAAATAAAAAAATTGTGAACAAAAGAAATTTAATTTGCAAATCATCAAAAGTTATATATTGTTTTTTTTAATATGTTTAATTACTGTAACTATACACATATATAGTATTCACCAGCATCATAAGTAACATTATTCATCATAAATTTAACAAAATAGATATGGTTCAATAGATTAAAAAAAACTAAAAACTATGTTAAGGTGTAAATTTTTAACTTGAATTAGATCAGATAACTTTTTTCTGATCTATTATTAAAAGATTTTGATCAAGTCAATTTAGTCTACTAAAAAAATATTTTAAAATATTAATATATATATATATATATATATATATATATTAAGAAATTTATAGATCAAAATATTATATATACAAATTTAAAATTTTTAAAATTTTTATTTAAATTCGACCAAATTTATTAATTGACTTTTTATCCTACTTACGTGGAATTAACTTTATTAGTTTACCTTTTCATTTATTAAAGCTGTTAGAATCACATAAATATTTTTTTTTCCTTCTGCAGGGGTTAAAAGTTAGAAGATCTCACTTCAAATTCTCACTCAATAATAAATGTTATATGGGGTAAGAGTTTTAATCTAAATACATTTTTTAATAATTTTATGTATTATTTATAGCATATGTTTGATAAAATTACATATGTGAGTGAGCTGTTTGTATCATATTCGGAGATAAATCACTAAAATAATACTTTGTGTTTTTATTTTCATACAATTTGTTATACCAAATTATATAATGTGTTAAGTTTTCAATTTTGGAGAGTTTATTCAAACTTTGATGCATTACATTTTACATGACACCTATAATTTTTTTTTTATTCTTTTATCTTTCACATGATTTTGTAATATTGAGGTTATTATATATTTAAAGTATTGAAAAAAATTTCCCTCTCTCAAAATATAATCATTCATGTTCTCTTTATTTCTCTTCTTATCTTTTTATTACGTGTTTATTCTAGATTTATTTTAAGAATTCTTTACTAATTTCTGAAATTTTTTAAAAATTCTTATATCTTACATACCTTACACAATATATAATTAATAAATCCTTAAAATCAGAAATTATTCACACCACTGAAATCAATTATCGTCAGCTTTTACTAACAAAAAGTGCTGAGTAGATAATCTTTTATTTTATTGGGGTGAATAATTTGCAATTTGTCATTTTTTTATTCTAGTTTGATACATAAAATGAGTTAATAACTTGTTAAGATTTAACATCTTACAGTAGAATTAATATTATAAATAATATTTTTTAAATTAATATTAAAATAAAAAATATTAATTATTATAATAATCATGAAAAATAATTTATTTAAAACTATTTATTATAATAAATCAATTATTCATTTAAAAAATATTAAATATTTATGAATTAAGTTTATTTTTTATTTAATAATTTGATTTAGTTATAATTAGATTAACTGATTATTATTATTAATCAGTTTAAATAATTTTTAAAAAGTATTTAATAGAAAATACTTAAAATCAATATTTTTTCTTTCAATTTAGAAAAAAAATATTTTATAAAAAACAAATAATAAGAAAAAGAAGAAAAAATAATGAATAAATAATGAGAGATAAACAATTAATAAATGAATTTTCTATAAAAAATTTATTCTCATAATTATATTTTATTTATCAACCATAAATAGGTAAAATAAATAAATTAATTTTATTTAAATAATTTTATTGAAATATATTATTTGTAACATAAATGAGTGATATAAAACATTAATCCCTGATATAAGACATTAATTCTTAATATTTTAAAACACTTATTCTTAAAACAAATATTTTATAAAAAACTAATATTTTTACACAGTGATTTACAACTCTATCTTGAAAAATTATAATTGAAATAAAATCTCTATGTTAATGCTAAAACAATACAACAGAATTATTAGAATAACAAATTATGTTGTTGAGTTCATAAAACCCAATTGTATTAATATTTTTATTTATCCGTTATAAGTGCTTAAAACTTATTTTATTTCATGTTTAAATAAAATTTCAACTATATAACATTCTAAACTATAGTCTTAACTAATAAACTTATACAGTATTTAAACAAACACAGATATATCTAACAACCATTTTTCTAGCCATGATTTAGTATATTTGTCATAACATTAAACTTCAAATATCTTAATCCAAATGTTAAATCATGTTGAAGTATGTAAACTTTTTTATTCAGTTAGGGTAGATTGTTCTCCCCTCTAATATGCATAAGGATAATATCTAATGCTTTATATAATAGAATATTTGAGTATAATATTTGTTATTATTACAGTTATCTTTTTTTTTTCTAAATTAATTTAAATAACAAACTATTTATTAGAATGATCTTATTTATGAGAATTAGAGGAAACTACACTTATTATTTTACAATAATAATAAAAAGTTGGCACAATTAAATAAATGGTTATTATAAATATGTAATCGTTTTTATATAATTAATTTATTTTATTATTAACTAAATGATAGCTTTAGGTTATATTTATTAGGAAAGAATGTGTATAGGTATTATTACTTAAATGGTACTTTAATTGGGGAATACTTTTGATTCCACAAAGTAATAATTATATTTGATTTGGTGACACATTACACAGGCTCAAGGAAGATGAGAAGTGGCAGGGGTGTAATTTCCTGAAATTAGGGTGTCATTTACACGAAGCCCCAGTGAAAATATCTAGTACTTCTTTCTTTCCCCATGGCCTGGGCAGCGCGTCTGGAAGTTTCTTCCCGTATATCTTTCTTTCTATCTATCTCCACCAAACAAAAAGGCACCGAACCAGGAAGAAGATATTTTTTTCTCTCTCCTCTTCGCCGCTGCATCAAAATCTCTCTCCTCTCCTTCCTCAATTTACCCTTTTCTCCTCCCATTTCTTTTATATCTCCCACTTCTTATTCCTAATATTATTCTCATGGCCTTCGCCTTCTCTCTGTTCATTCCTTGATTCAACCCTTGCTAGCGCCTTGTTCCACTTTTAACTGCCCGCGCCTTCACCTTTCTCTGCCCTTCCATGGATCGGGAAGGAGGATCCAACGGCGGATCTTGCTACTACTCCGTTCTCGGGATTCGTAGGGACGCCTCCTTCTCTGATATTCGCACTGCCTACCGTAAACTCGCTATGGTAAAAAATAAGACCATACGCAGCCTTTTTCTTCTGTTTCTACTTTAATATGTTGTAATTGATTTCTGAATTTCGATGAATTGTGTTCTTTTTTTTGTTTTGGGTCGGGCCGAGAAGAGGTGGCACCCGGACAAGTGGGCTCGGAATCCCGCAATCGCCGGAGAAGCCAAGCGCCGGTTTCAACAAATCCAAGAAGCCTACTCAGGTCAGGTTATATCATCATCGTAGTTATGGTTTTAATTGTTGCAAAATTGATTAACTAGTGATGCTGATTTTGGATTGGTGCTGTTATGTGGTAACAGTTCTTTCCGATCAGTCTAAAAGGTCAATGTACGATGTGGGGCTCTACGACCCTTTGGAGGAAGAAGACCAAGTTCGTATAGTTTCCTTTCACCCTTTATAATCACTAATTTATTGCAATTTAGGCACAAATTTTGTTTGTGTATAATTTATTTTTTTCAATGCACAGGAGTTTTGTGATTTCATGCAGGAGATGATATCGATGATGAACAATGTGAAAGACGAGGTAGCGATTGAGTTGTATTGATTTGTTGTTTTTGTTTTTGGAATGTTGTGGGTAAAGTGTGGATCGTTTTTTGACTGCGGTGCAGGGGGACAGTATGGAGGACCTACAGAGGATGTTCGTGGAGATGGTGGGGGGTGATGGGATCGGCATTGACTTGAACCAGGATCAGACGGCTGGGAAGCGAGGACGAGTTAATGGATCAAGGGGTACTGCGGCCAAGCGCAACAACTCTCGCACTTAGTGCGCTCCACTGAATCCCTGTCCTGTAACTTCACACTTTTTTATTTTTTTTCTCACTGAAAACTAGATCATTGAATGAAAATCCTTGTCAAGTTTAAACTTTTTAAACACCTTCATTGTCACGATTTTAGTAATGTTTTGTGTTTCTGATAGTATTTTTTTTTCCTAGTTGACAGCATTTTGGCTGCTAATTTGATTGGCTTTTCTCGGTGTCAAAAGCATAAGAAGGATTACACGTGTATGTCATGCAAATTAAAAAAAATGCAATTGTCGGTTGGATCTAAAATTTGTTTATTTTAGAATTTAATTGATGTATTTGATCATTAAGATTTTCACATTTTTAATTGATTAGAAATTGTTTTAAATATTATATTGAAGTAATTATAAAAAATAAATTTATCTTTTATAAAATGATATATAAAAATCTGTTTTAAATGTATATTTTAATAATGAAAATGATATAAAAAAAATTGGTGGGCCAGAAGCAGAGTGAGTACAATGTTGTATTGGTATTAGGCATATGTACATCTTGAATAGATAACATTGGAAAGGGAGCCTAGGGCACGATGTTGATGGTTTATAAAAATCATTTAGTTTGGTGTAGGAGGTTTCTAGATCTTGTTTGTCAGCTTTGGTGCATATATTTCTTTGCATGTGTGATATTCATTCCTGTTGTATATTACACAAAAGTAATTATAATATAATATTCATAAGTTTGCCGCCAAGTTTTTTTCCTTAAGTTGTCAATTAAACTTATTCTTTGAATTCGACTGAGAAGTTTTATTCAATATTTTCTGCTCGATTCTGGATTTTACTGCTGAAGCTTAGGTTTTGTCTATACGACCTGATATAGCTGAAACGAAAAGGGTTTTATGCTTATCAAATGAATAAAGCTGTCTCTCTAGAGAAAGTTATGCCTTAAATACTTCAATTTAAATAGTTTGTTGTCTGATTTATACCTGAACAATTACGATTTGACTCTCGAGGGGATCCAAACTAGTGTATGGGTCATGTTGATATCTAATTCCACTATGGGTCTTTGAGTGTGTATTGTGAAGAGACTAAACTGAGTGTATGAGTGAGATTGGAGTTGGAGCTAAGTAATTGTAGCATCTGAAATCTTTTTCAGTGGAGCCTCCAATCTGAAGTGTATGACTCAGATTGTGGTCCAAATTGAGTGTATGGGACATAATTAAATCTAAGGGTACACAACCATGGAGTTTTGATTGCTGACCAAACAGACTAAGCACATGTTTTATGTTATATCTCATCGACCTTTTTCTGTTTTCAATTTTGGACACTTTATAAAATTTAAGGAATGTTTTAGCTATTTTATGTGAAATAATATGTGCAAAAAATATGTAAACTTTGTCCAATTTAGCCTTTTTCTAAGATCCTATCATTTCATAGTTCCAAATACTCTGACACGTATGGGGTCCTCCCTGAAAATAATTACGAAACTTTCACCGGAAAAGAAGTCTCTACTAGTTGAAAAGAAGAAAAAATAATATTAGTTGAGTGGGTTAAAAATTATCTCTATTTTCGTTTTATTCAATTCAAATTTAAGTCTCTTATCTGTCCCAATTTTATATTATTTTGATAAAAAATAATTATATTTATAAATAATTAATTTTAATATTTTAATAAAAAATAATTATTTATGATTTAATAAATTTTAATTGTTATTATTTAATTAATTATATATTTTAATTTAGTATATATATATATATATAAATATATAAAATTATTATTATTACTATTACTATATTATATTTTTTTAATTTAATTATTTTTTAAAATGTTTAATTTATAAGAAAATATTTAATAAAATATTTTTTATTTAATTTGAATATTTTTAAAAGATAAATTATAAATAAAATAATATTAGTTGATGGAAAATATTGTTTTAAGAAAAAGAGAAAATTAGTTTTGTATTTGTTAAGTTTATTGAAAATATTGAAAAAAATTAAAATGATTAAAGAGATAAGAAAATAAGAAGCAAAGAAAATAATGGTTAAATTAAGAAAGAAAATAATGAATGAAATTAACTGGTTAAATTGAGAAAGAAAATAATGAAATTGAAAAGATAAAGGAGTAAAAATAAATAGAAAAAAATAATAAAATAAAAATAAAAATATTTTAAGATTTAAATTTAAAGAATAAAAAATAAGTAGAAAAAAATAAAAAATATATTATATATAATATAAAAAATATTTTAAAATTTAAATATAAAATTAATTTTGTAATGAGTTCAAGTAAATAGTTAATTATTTTCATCTTCGACTTTTCAAAGAAAAAATATTCAAACTCATCAAAGGAGGAAATATTTAACATCCCTATTTCAAGCTCGACGATATTATGATGTTGACGATGTATGGATCCAGGTACTGAAATATCAGCCATAACCAATCCCAAACTTTATCAACTTCACTGAGATTAAGTGAAAAAAATATAGAGACCGAAGACACATAAATGTGAGAGGAAATAATGTTTCATAAAATCAAAAAAATATATTTATATAATAAAATTACTATTTTTCAGATTTTTTTATTTTTCATAAAAAGTTTATCATAAAATATTTTAAAATTTTTATTAAGGTTATTTTCTAAAAATTTTTATTAAGGTTATTTTCTAAAAAATCTTTATACAAGTTGCATATGATTAAAAAAAAAACACTTTACTTTATATTTCACCCAAAAATTTGTTGTGTAAGGTATTTGTAATGGAGATTAGTTATGACCTCATGGAAGAAAATAATGATATTGTTTAAACAAATAGTGGTTGGACACGAGTAAAACATATTAACCTAACTTCATCTAAAATTGAAACAAAATTAATTTTCATAATTTAAATATGGAAGATAAGAATAATAATAATTAAACATATCAAACAACACAAAATACTACCAAGCGATAAAATATATCGAGATAATAATCATGCCTTCGCGATTAATTGGGAGTTAATAAAATAAAATAGAAAATTTCAGAATTTTATAGAGATATCTACTAAAAGAATCAAATTTTGAGTAGGTAGTATACTGTACTAATTTACTGTTATTATTCATAGAAGGTTTGGCTATATTTTACCAATTTATAAAAAAAAATGCATAAAATGATTGAAGAATTAAAAATGCAAGTTTGGGCTAAAATGTAATAGTCATTAATTCTCATAATGATTTTTAATGTTCGTTAATTGCGATTTTTTGTTTTTTAATTTATCTCCTAAAAATGCTATCAATTTTTTTATTATTATTACTCAATTCAGATTAGTATAAATTATTATTTTTTAGTCAAGACAAATTCCCGTTTATAAGTATAATTAAAAGAAACAAAAATTATCTTAAGCTCACATTTTGGGCCATGATTAGCATTGAATTGAACAGTCCAAGAATTTGAGGCCCAGACTCAACAAACAAGAGTTTGTTGTGAGAATGCGAACGAAAATGTTGGTAGCCGTACGAAACGAAACCTTTTCTTCAAATAAAACAACTTTTTCCCTCATCTTTAAAATTCAAAAACCAGTGGCATTTCCGCAAATGCACGCTGATCTAGGTCCCATTCCATAACGCTCAATAAACCCTCTCTTTTCGCTTCTCTTTTCAAATTCCCAAACCATAAAACCCCAAACTCTCTTCATCGTTTTCTTCCTCCATCCTCTCAGTTTGCTATACCCAACCCTACGGTTCGCTTACCCAATCCAATTCCAAATCCGAATCCATCCATTCCAACACGATGTCGTATCGGCCCACCGCGAACTCGAGGACCGAGGTTCGTCGGAACCGTTACAAGGTCGCCGTGGACGCCGATGAAGGTCGGCGGCGGCGAGAGGATACGATGGTGGAGATTCGAAAGAACCGTAGGGAGGAGAGCTTGCAGAAGAAGAGACGTGAGGGTCTCCAATCTCAGCACATGCCTGCGTCGGCTCACTCTACTGTAATAGAGAAGAAGGTCAATTTTGATCATCTTTAGAATAAAGTTCGCCTGCTGTTTTGTTTCGTAATTTATTCCTTTTGTCGTGTAAATTCAGATTATTTAAAAACATTCATCTCACTCCTCCAAGCTTGACAAGTGATTAGGTTATGAATTTAGTTGTGTTGATAGGATTCTGGTTTTTGAGTTTATATTGTATGTTTCATTTGAGGTGTTTCGGTGTTTGTTTGTTGTGAGGCTTATACTCGTGAAGCAATAATGATACTCGTTGATTACGAAATGTGGGATAGTCTATCCCGTCTTTCTCTCGTTCGCGTTGTACTTACGTATACAAAGCGATACAGTTTGATTGTGTCAGTTAGAGTTGGTCACTAGTTAAAGCTTCTGTTACAAGTAATTTTTGCTTCCAATTTGTGTTTGTTGAATTCATCAAAGCTTTCGAATCATTGATTTCGCCACGGTTTACTTGATTTTGAAAATGCCTTGTTTAATGAACTCAAGGGCTCCGTGAACAAAATTCATGTGGCATACGTATTTTCAAGGCCTTTAAAAAAGCAAGTAATGTATTCTGATCTGATTCTCATTGCTTCTTCACAATCTTGATAAAGTCACAACTACATTTAACTTGGCATGTATACTTTGGAATTGGTCTTCATCGAATGAACTTCTTGGTGAAAAGATCTGAAATCCTTAAGTTATCTTCTTCTGAAAAGCTCTATTGGAGATCATCCCACCGCTCCTTTGCATTATCAATATATTGTGGTGTTGGGGTTCGTTTTGATCCAATAAATTGTCTTTAATATCCATTGTGATGGCTCCTGTCACACACTTTAGCTTGTTCTTTGATTGCAAAGCTCTTTTCAGTGCCCAGTCCCACGAATGATAGTTACTAACATTCATAGGTGGAGAAATGAGGATCATCCGCGGGTTTTCTCAAAGATTGAAATGGAGAAGCAGAGCAGGATTTACCTCTGATACTATAATCTAAGATGCATGGATTTTGAGGAAATGATATTTGTTGATTAAAGATGATAGAAATCATGTTTATACTTTATATACAGGAGGATAAGCTAAACTGACTTCTAACAGAAATCCTAACAGGAGCTTTAGCTAGTGACCAACTCTACTATTTTAATGGTACTTTGTTGGATTTGCATGAACCAGAAACAAATTAGCTCACTGACATGCTGTTTATTTTCTTTCTTGCTGCAGTTGGAACACCTACCCGCCATGGTTGCAGGTGTCTGGACTGATGACAATAACATGCAGTTTGAGGCCACAACTCAGTTCCGGAAGATGCTTTCAATTGGTTTGATATTGGTCCATGGCTCCTTTTTTTTGGTTCTGAATGTGAAATGATTTTTGACAAATTCTGTTTTTGTCCTGTCAGAACGCAGCCCACCCATTGAGGAGGTTATTCAAGCTGGTGTAGTTCCACGCTTTGTTGAGTTCTTGAAGAGGGAAGATTTTCCAATGCTGCAGGTTTGTTATTTTCCTTCTTTTAGCCAATATTTATCTCTGCTTATATATTGCCTTGACTTTATTTAATGTTGTAGTTTGAGGCAGCTTGGGCTTTGACAAATATAGCTTCTGGAACATCTGAAAATACTAAGGTTGTAATTGATCATGGTGCTGTACCAATTTTTGTAAAGCTCCTTGGGTCTCCCAGTGATGATGTCCGTGAACAGGTATATTTCATGTGCTTTTTCATATTTTATTATCAATATAATAAAAAAAATGTATTCTTAAAATGGGATCAAATTACTTTTATGTTGTTTAACCAGAAAATGTATTTCTTGATTTTTTGTTTTGGATGATATGCTATTTGTTGGTATAATGGTGTCATGTTTGTCCAAGTGTTGTTACTTCATTACTATTGGCTTATAAGATGAAAGCACCTAGCAGTTTATATTTCATTTTGTGTTTAACATTTTTTATTTTGGGGATAACCAGGCTGTTTGGGCATTAGGCAATGTTGCTGGAGATTCTCCTAGATGCCGTGATCTTGTTCTTGGTCATGGAGCTTTGATTCCTCTATTGGCACAATTGAATGAGCATGCTAAGCTTTCTATGCTAAGAAATGCTACCTGGACACTCTCAAATTTCTGCAGAGGAAAACCACAGCCTCCTTTTGATCTGGTATGATGTTATGCATAGCATGATCAGAAAAAAAATGATGTTTTGGCACTTTCCTATTCGTTAAATGCTCTGCCATCGTGAAATGATTTGACACCCTTAAATTTTCGTGTTGAATACCATCTGCATGTATTAATACCAGAGAAAAATGCTTATGTTCTTGATTATATTGTTTTCCTTTAGTTGTAACTCTAATCTGATGAACTTTTTCTTTCATCTTTTCATTTTTCATGTTCCTATTAAATTTCCTTATGTTTTAGTCCTAGGATTAAAAGGTTATTTGAGCCAACATAGTAAACATATAATTGCTTTGGAAATCGAAACCAAAAGCATACTTCTTTTACATTCATAACAAAATTGAAATTGTAAATTATTGTCATCATAAATAATTTTTCATCTCTTACAAACGGGAATGCTACTAATCTCATTCCTTGAGCTTCATTCATAAGGATAACTTCCATGTGGTTTAATCAAAAGACAATGCTTCTATCTTATTCATCACGTCTCATATCTAGCCATATCAAATTTCATAGCACTCTTTTATAGCTTGAATACTTGATAGATGTGTATTGGTAAAGTATTAATGAATATGGTTATCCGATTCATATCTCTTACCAATATTTATAGCAAAGACAGTCGTTCCCAGTTTTGATTGATTCCAATCCTTCTTTTTTACAGGTTAAACCTGCACTTCCTGCTCTTGCCAGTCTTATCCATTCAAATGATGAAGAAGTCTTGACTGATGCCTGTTGGGCACTTTCATATCTTTCTGATGGTACAAATGACAAAATTCAGGGTGTAATTGAAGCTGGTGTTTGTACCCGGCTTGTTGAGCTTCTTACGTGAGTACTGCAAACTCAAACATGTATGTGCAAAAAATGTACGAGTTTGTGTTGTTCTGATGTCATTCTAAATATTATTCTACACTTGTTCAGGCACCTTTCCCCTTCAGTGCTTATTCCCGCTCTTCGAACTGTTGGAAACATTGTTACTGGAGATGATGTGCAGACGCAGGTATCAAGATTGTTAGTTTCTCTTGATTCTTTCTTTAGTTGTTTCATTCAATGTGTCACTGGCTATTTTGTGTTTCAATATGTCACTGACTATTTTGTGTTAGTAATAGTGTTATAAACCAAACTAGAAATTAGAAAGAAAAGAGATATTGTATTGAATTAAATAGAAATTCCAGAAAATAAGTGATGGATCTGTCCTCCAAGGTTTCCTGCATCGTAAAGGAGTCCTTTGGGAAAGAGCAAACTCAACCCTTAAACCATACAAGATGAATGCCTCTTCCCTTGCATCCTCCTTCTATCTATTTGTCTCTGAAGCACCGAGACCTCTGTTGTGTTTGACACTTTTTGGACATGACACTTGTTGGGTTCATCTTTGACATGTTCCGACATTCCTCAACCATGTCAGAATTAAAAAGAAAATCCAGCTCAAACACCTTCAACATGGCTTAAGCATGAATAAAGAAAATGAGCCCACAGCCATTCTTGAGTAAATACTTCCTAGACATTACTGTCATAAAATGGTAAAAAAGTAATTAAAAAACAACTTATGTTATAAATAATGCATGACTCGTTTTTCTAAGCTTATTTTCATGAGACTTAACTAGTTATTTTGACTGTTAAGGTGCAATTTTCTTATTTAGAATACGATTGCGAAGGATTTTTTATAGGAAAATTGTAACAAAATTTATTTCTCAATTGAGATTATTTTCACATCGATTACCTGAAATTGAATTTTTATTGAGTACAATATAGTCAAGTCTTTTCCTTCGTTTTTCTGTAGAGACTTTATTGTTGTGTTGTGTGTATTCTCTTCTTTATGTTTCTGCTTGGATTAGGTAATGGTGTGTAGACATGCATGCGTAATAATATGTAATTTTTGTTTGTATTGATTTTGTACTTTCTTCCTTAGGTCATCATCAACCATCAAGCTCTTCCTCGTCTTTTGAATCTCTTGACTAATAATTATAAAAAAAGCATCAAGAAGGAAGCATGCTGGACCATATCAAACATCACTGCTGGGAACAAACAGCAGATTCAGGTACAGACTATTTTAGGTGTCTTCATCGTGATGTAATTGTGCATTTATGTTAGTTAAAATTTGATGTGTTACCTTTGCGTTTGAACTTAAATCTTATTTATCTTTAATTTCTGATTATGTGCAGGAAGTAATTGAGGCTGGTCTAATTTCTCCTTTAGTCCATTTACTTCAAAATGCTGAGTTTGATATCAGGAAAGAGGCTGCTTGGGCTATCTCAAATGCTACTTCAGGTGGATCTCATGATCAAATCAAGTATGGAGAGATTCTTTTGTTTAGATTATAGAATGTTCTCTTGAGATTTATTGGTGTTATAACATTTTTCCTTTGACAATGTTATGAATCTTTTTCCCTTGTTTGGCAGGTTCCTGGTAAATCAAGGGTGTATTAAGCCCTTGTGCGATCTTCTCCTATGTCCTGATCCTAGGATTGTGACAGTTTGTCTGGAAGGGCTTGAAAACATCTTGAAGGTAGGAGAAGCTGAGAAAAACGTTAGCAATCCTGATGGTGTGAATCTATATGCTCAAATGGTTGATGATGCTGAGGGGTTAGAGAAAATTGAGAACCTCCAGAGTCATGATAACACTGAGATTTATGAAAAGTCAGTGAAGATTCTTGAGACATACTGGTTGGAGGAAGATGATGAGACTATGCCTCCAGGGAATGCTGCTCAGTCAGGGTTCAACTTTGGTGGCCACGAAGTTCCTTCGGTGCCTTCTGGCGGATTCAACTTTAATTAGAAGGTATTGTGCTTTACTATGACGACATTATGTTTTATTTTGTCTGCACATTTTCAATCGGAACTCGTGAAGCGTAGGAGTTTCCTTTGTGTGCTGTCCTTTATCGCATGGACATTAATTTTAATCTAGTTAAAAACTGCAGGCGGTTTGGCTGGTCTATCAGTAAAATCCTCCAGATTGACAGTCCAACAATTGGGGGTCAAGTCAATATCTTGTCATTGTCCTTGGGTCCTACATGGTTCAGCCTTGGTAAATAGAGGGTTGCTGGACCGGCTTGGGTTTTTTCATGTGGCTGGTTTTCCATACATCATGGGGTAGATGGGTTGTGGCTTGATCTTCTTAGCCACTATAGATTTATATATACTAGAGTTTGCTTTCTGCCAAGTGATCAACTGATCATTCCGCGAGTAATTTGGTTTTTATAGAATTGTTGTTTGAGTTGTGATGTTGTGTCATAGATTGGATGGAATCACTAAGGACCATTTGCGATTCTGGATGTTTTGGCACAATACCAATTACCGAAATGCTACCGTCTTTACTTCATCTATATATTTACAAGATGGAGTTTTTCTTTTACCTAAATGTTTACTTCATTTTTAGTTTCTTTCTCTTCGTTTCTTCTATTTTTATTTTCTTCACTTTCTGAAATTTTTTTAGAGCAGAGGTACAGATTCTTTTTTTAATTATTCAAGTAGGATATTGTAGGTTTTATTTATTTACATATCACAATTTTTTTTAAGTTGAGAATTTGATTCTTTGATATATTTAAAAACGTGATTGCATGTTTTTTTTGTTTCAAATTATTTAAAATTGGGTGGTTTTCAGGTAATCGAATTCAAAGGGTTTTTTTTTTTATTTTTGTTGATTTTGTTAAGAAAGAAAAATTAACTAATATATATATATATATATATATATATATATATATAATATTATAATGTTTTATTTAAAATTTAAAATTATAATTTTAAAAAGATTTATATATTTATTAGATTAATAATATATTTTGATTTATTGTTAAAAGTTGTAAAATAATACTTTTAAAATATATTATTAAATATTATATTTATATTTTATTTGAATGATTAATTTTTTTTAATTTTGTGATTTATTAGATATTGTAATATTTTTTTAGAAATTAATAATAAATTAGGAGGATAATAAAAATCTTAAAAATTATAGATGAAATAATATTTTTATGTAAAATTATATTTTTGAATTTTTTTTTTGTGTTTTGTAATATTTTGGAATATATATATATATATATATATATATATATATATATTATATTTTTGAAATGAAAATAAGTTATAGATAGAAAAAATAATGTATTAATATTTTTGAAATTTTTGATACATTAAATAAAAAATTTGTGAATAAAATTTTTTATGTAAAATTATAACTTTTTATTTAAAATTTGTGCATTTTGAAATTATAGTTTTAAAAAGAGTAATATGTTTATTAGATTAATAATATATTTATATTTATTGTTAAATGTTGTAAAATAATATTTTTTAAAATGTATTATTAAATTTATTAAAAATATTAAGTAATAGAAGATGAAGAAATAAATTAATTAAGTACAAAACGTTGTAAGTGTATTTTTTTAATAATGTTATTAAGTTTAATTATACTAAGTTTAATTACAATTGATAATATATATCACTATTAGAAAATTAAATTTTTTTTGCCAATTTTCTTGCAAAAAATTGTTTAAATTTATAGAAAAACTTATTTCTTGCAATTTTTACAAAAATTTTGCAAAAATATTCCTATGAAAAATGAGAATTTTTAGTAGTGTATTAGTCTTTTTTGAGGTTGATGTTAGTCTTTTTCATGTTATGTAATATTGTTAGCTTCACTATGTTTATGTATTGTAACATTTTCAGAAATAAAGTTGTGTTATTGTTAAAATTTTCATAATTTGTTAAATTCATATTAATGTCTTAAAAAAATCCAGTTCATTGTCTTTATTGTTTGGAATACTACAAGAAAAGATGATTATCTCATATATGTTTGGAACACTCACAACTCCACTCATACGTTTCAAAATTTCACACTCCTATTATAGATTTCAACTTTTTTAAGTTACTATTATATAGTTAAAGAATAATTTATAGTAAAAATATGTTTAGATTAAATGAAATATATATTTAAAATGTAAAAGAGAAAAAAATTAAGATGTAAGTGAATAGAACTTTTATTGAATGGATGAAAGATAGTACAAAAGTTTAATACAATTAATGATGAGATATTGATCTCTAATGTCATGGTTGTGAGGTTAATGATTTCTTATGTGTCTTGGTGTTTTACACTATGAACACTTTTTCTTCCCTGATGTCCATCACAGTCCTGATTCTAGTTGATTTGGGCTGACATTTTAAACTTCTTCTCGTGGTTGGATTTGGCAGAACTTGTGGGCCTTGATATGGTGGCCAATATTGTTCATGTCTTAGCTCTCCAAACATATGGTCATACACTTTCATGACGACATCCAACCTATGGAGACTGATGAACATGTTGAAATCATGATGGACATGTTTGCAAGCTACTAACACATGAGAACACAATATATGAATTTTTTGAAACTTCTCACAATCATACCATCGTTCATCCAACTTAACAACAAATGTACCCGGAGGATGTATTTCTCTTGGGTTGACCATTTCCCCCACCCTGAATCTTGTTGTATTTCTATCAAATGATTTTGAATCACCATCTTGTAGGATCTTGGTGCCATTTTCAGAATAGACATGACCAGCATTTGTCATTGCAGTTATGTGCTTCCCTCTTTCTGTGAAGAAGGTGTTGCATCTGGTATATGTGGCCAATAAATACTATGGAAGAGATTGGTAGTTTCTTGTTTTCTTCAAGAATGAGTTGATAACTTTGGCCAGATTAGTTGTAAGGTGACACCATCTTCTGTCTTCATCATACACAAATGCCCATTGATGTCTTGGAATTTGGCCAATCCAAGTTGCTGCTTCTGGGTTCTCTTCCCTTATGATATTGTAGTAATAGTTACATCTTGGCTTAGTCATTGCGTATGCTGCAAATATAATTATAAAGTAATACTCATTAAATATAACGAAGAATAATGGAAGATCACACATAATTGAATAAAATTTTGGAATTTTAAGTACTTACCCTTGTTCACAAGGTCCTTCTTTAGAGTTGTATTTTTGAATCTTCGAGTGAAATTTTGTGCAATGTGTCGAATGCAAAACACATGCACACAATTTCCTTGAGTCCATCCACTTCCCGGTCTATTGAATGTTGCACTGATGGAATTATGACAATTCGAAATTAAGCACAGTTTTCTTGAGGTGTAACATATCTCTTAAGGTTTTTAAGGAAAAAAAAATCAAGCTTCTGCCGTTTCACCTTCAACAATAGCAAAACCAATAGGGAGTATATTGTTCCTCCCATCTTGTGCTCCAACCACTAGAAGAGTGCCCCTATATCTCCTGTGGAGAAAGGTTCTGTCCACTTGCACTAACGATTTGCAATAGGAAAATCCATCAACACATGGTTTGAATGTCCAAAATACTCTTTTGAAATATTTTTTGTTTTGCAGGACCTCTTCGCGCATCAGTTATGACCTGAGTTTTGATTTGGTATTCGAAACCAGGAAAAAATGTTTGCATTGCTTATAGTACTCATGACAATTTGTTGAATGATTCTTCCCAATTTTCGTACACATGTTCAATTGCTTGTTGCTTGGCCAACCAAGCCTTTCTATACGTTGTTGTGTAACCCAGTGAGGTCTTGATGGAAGCAATGATTGTTGCAATTAGTGTTGATGGGTCAGATTCGATCATCTCACGAATGTGTTGGGAAATGATATGTAACCCCAACTTGTTATGATCTTGTGTAATGAGTTGTGTGGCCCAGGTGTGAGACCCTTCGATTTTTCTTATTTCCCATACTTGATCTCTTGTTCGAAGGATGGCTTGACACTTCCACAGACATTGATGGTGGACACATTGCACCCTCAACCTTATTGTGTTCGAGTGTGTCGTTTTGTATGTGTAATGGTTTGTGATATGAAATGTGTTTAAAGTATCTATGACTTGTTCCTTTGTTTGAAACTTCATTCCCTGGGTTAATGCACTAGGTTCATGCTCGAATGTGTCATGTTGAATATTAAAGTGGTCGTATGCATGAGGATATTGTTGGTCTACATGTTGGGAAATTCTTCATAGGACTAAAAGTGTCGGGACGTGTTGTATTGAACAAATAAATGAGGTTGTTGTTGTTGTATAGGAGGGATATCTATGTTTTCTTCTTCATCATATGTGTGCTAGCTAAGGATGTCATCCTCATCCTCACTAAATGGGTCTAATGACGACAAAGGTATGTCTAATATTTCGATGGACCGGTCAAGAGTTGGGTGTATAATTGTATGTCATTTTCCCATTCCCCTATATATGTGGTGTTAAGGTCAAATGACTGATGTGTGGGTTGGGTTTGTAAGGGTTGTTGATGTCCATGAGAATGATTAAAATAATTGGGTTGGGAAGATGAAATACATGTGTTGTAAGTCGTGCAAATTTCCAAGGATCTCAAAGTTGGGTTGCCCTTTGTGATGTCCATGGCTCCATCCAAGTCATCGTCATCTTCAATCTTTATTGTTGTGTAAGTCACATGTCTGCCACAAATTTGTGTTGGAAATCTAAAATGGAGGACTGGAGGTGGATTGGTTGGATCTCTCTTCGCCCGTTGCAATACTATCTCTATTAATTGTAAAAATGTGAAACCTCTATGAAGCTAAACCATGATACATGTGTCATACTTAAACAAAACACCATTTTCTGGGTTAGGAATCATGTCACCATTATCATAGATGCATGCAAACATCTTTGGTGCCATTTGAGGAGGAATAAGATTCTGATGAGTGGTAGCAAAGAAAAATTTTGAATAACTATGGTTCAAAATTTGTGGTAAGGTCCCTCTTTTATAGCCTAAAGTTAGGTGATCATGTGACCCGCGCATTAACCAACATGATCATGTGACCTGCACATTAACCAATGTGATCATGTGACCCGCACCACACCTTATGTCATCATGTGACTTGGTTATTTCCTTATGTGATCATTTAACTTACACATAACTTTACTTCATCATGTTAATACAATTTTTTTATACAATGATAAACATAAATAATATTAATCGAATTAACATAAATGATAATATTGGATGGATTGAAATACTTGTTACACATGACAAGAAGAGTGATATCATAAGGTTCGTGGAATTTTCTGAAATCAAGGTACATGATCATCAATCTAAGTTTAGTGACTGGTTGAAGTTATTAGCCAAATCATAATAAACTTCAGACGGAGTTGTGCTTTGGTGCATTTTTGTAATAAATGTCATGATCTCAACATGAACTTCTGTAACCTGTTATGTTGCCATAAAAAACAAAGCCTCGATGTCGTCATCTACAAATATCTTACATGATCTATAATGTGCAGTGGTGGCAGATATGAAAATTGGTAACCTGTATTGTAAGTCGACTTCATATTCGTTTACTGTTGACATGTTGAAGTGGTTGAGAATAGTTTGCTTCACTTCGACCATAGTCATTGTGTTTGTTATGGTCACCCAAGCCGTTTGAGAGCAAATGTATGTTTCAGAGTAATTTTCTTCCGTTAAGATGGTGTCATTGTTGGTTGCAGTACCTTGTCACTCAGTTGATTGGTCGAACAACCTATAAGTTGCTCTATTTATAGGACAATTGTTCACTTGGGCCAACAACAATGATACTTTCACATACGAAATCTAATGGCTAAGAATGAATATGTGGAAATGAATGCACATGATTTAGATCCACACTGCACGAGGTCTGACCACCATGAATAACGTGTGAAGGCTTTAGTCCATGTGATAAAGTGCTTCAACTTTAATCTGAGGATTGAAATTAAATTTGTAGGGATGAACGCACATGATTTAAATCTACGAGGTTTGACAGGGTTTTATTAAAGCTTGATTATGTCATTATGGCTGAGCAGTATGCCTTATGTAGTGGATTTGAATTCTGTGCGTTCATTTTTTGTGCTTTTAATCGCAGTTGTTAACTAAAAAAATGTACACTACCCATTATGACACTATAAATAATGGTATTGTGTCATACCATAACTTCTCAAAGCTGATGACTATTATCATGCATTAACTTATTCACTCTTTCAATCAATGCTTTCACATGCACCCTGCTCTCATGGACAACCATCAAAAATAGCCCACACTGCACGAGGTTTAACCACCATCAATAACGTGTGCAGGCTTTAGTCTTTGTCTCAAAGTATATCAACTTTAATTGGAGGGTTCAAATTGAATCTATAGAGATTAACGCAAGGATTTAGATCCACATTGCACGTGGTCCGACAAGCTTTTATTAAGCGTGCAGACTTTTAGTCTATATATTTTGAAAGGCGAAGTTCAATAACCACACTTACGATTATCATAATCATATACTACAATTTTTACAAGAGTGTTAGTCAAGATTGAAGAAAGAAAGTTAACAAAATGTTGTTGTGGAGACAATAAGAACACAGAGCTGCCTACACTACTTTGATGTTATGTTAGTTCTATTGTTATTATTGTTCAAGTTATTTTTTTCTCATTAAACAATGTTATTTTTTTGGCTATATAGGACGCAAAATAAAGTATTGTATCGTCGTATTGTTATTTCATGTCGGAACCACATCCTCTTCTTCTTCCCATAATAGAAGAAGCTGAGTTCGACAATGTTGCTAAATTAAGACATTTAAAGATAGATCATGTTTTGGTTACAACTTTGGTGGAGAGGTGGAGGCCTGAGACACATACTTTACATCTGTCAACAAGAGAATGCACAATAACATTGCAAGATGTTTCACTTCAATTGGGGCTTAAAATTGATGGTCCACCTGTGATTGGACCAACGATGTTTGATTGGGAGGACATGTGTCATACGTTATTAGGTATTATCCCTACAAAGGGGGAGTCCCTGATAGGGTCTATGGTGAAGTTAAAGTGGCTTAAGGAAAATATGGTCTTACTACAAGAGGAATCAAATATAGAAGAAATACTTGCTCATGCAAGGGCATATATATTAGGATTGATTGGAGGGACTTTAATATGTGATAAAACTGGTAATAAGGTACACTTAATGTACTTAAAATTTTTAAGTAATCTTCGCAGAACTTGACGATATAGTTGGGGTTCTACTTGTTTAGTTGTATTTACAGGGAGATGTGTAGAGCAACAGATCGGCGTGTGAAGACCATGGGTAGATGTGCATCGTTATTACAATCCTGTGCATGGTTTCGTATACCCTTTATTGCTCCAATTTCACGGACTCAATTGACGTTCCCCCTTGTATACTGATGGAGCGAGGATCGTATACTAAACTATCAAAATGTCCCCCACAATGATTTACTTGGCTACCGATCAAGGATAGACCACATTGAACCTAACCAGGTTCACTTCTATTTTTAACTTCATTTTTTAATGTTCATAATTTAATAATTTTTTCACTTTAGTATTAGTGACATAGTTTATATGGTTTCCGTATGAGAGATTGGAGTCAATCATTCCTGCCGAAGCATATAGGGACCAAACATTGTGGACCTCTTGCACAAGTTTACTTTGTTTTTCAATTGTTGAATGACACCAGTCAAACAGGGTGAAGTTACAATTTTGTCTAGTACAAGATGTTCTTGACTCACCCAACAACCTTGAGATTAATCTTCGCTTAGTTGATTAATTTTGAATTAGAATATAATTTAAGATTTATCTTCGCTTAGTTGGTTAATTTCGAATTAATTTCGCAATCTAGGATAAGTGACACTGCATTAGAATCAGAAAATCAATTGCATTTTAATTTATTTTTAATCCGCATTTTTATAATATGTTTTTGTTCTGTTTCATCTAATATTTTAATTTTGAAAAACTTCCTTTTTTTTTGTTACTGTTCTAAATTCAAAAATTGATAAGCTTTGATAGAAATTTGTGGCCTTTGGGAGATGACCTAGGAAAGCTTCTTAGTACTACATTTATCTGTTTTAATTATTTGACCGAGTACGACATCCATCAAAGATAATCTACATAAAGTAGACATGAGGGGGAGACAACATGAGAATTGGACTACTAGACATGCATAATGGATAGACGTATGGAAGAACATACGTGATATGACATTGACTGGATTACCACTTTTAGGGTCACTTTTCCACAATAGTGAGTATATGTCATGGTTTGTGGCAAACTCTTTTTTTTTTTTGTCCGTTACACAAATGTTACATGACCCGAGGATGCATCGGGCATCGACTTCAACACATGCACAACCTCCTTAACATGATGACATTGAACACAATTACAACACTTCAGAAGCAGAAGGAACTATGGATGCAAAAAGACATTCAATTTCTTCCTTCTCTGATTTAGGAATGCCAAGCATTTTTGGAGCGTATGCCTCAACTCCACGTTCGGCATAAGGTTTTGAAGGACCTTATCAACAATCCCCTTATAATATCCAACATCATAATAAAACGGTATCATCCTTTGATGCATATCAAGGTCATGAAGAGGTAGAGTATCATGAAGCCCAACCTTCAGAGGAAGAAGCACCTAGACTGCCCCAGGGAAGGAGGAACCCAACTAGAAGCAAAAGGCAATCCCGATGTTGAACTGGACACCATTATGGGGATTAAATAACAAACATTTAGTTTTAGTGTTTGAACTGTTGTTATTTAGCTACCTTATGTTGGGTTTGTAATATAAACTTTGCAAATGATGAATAAAAAACCTACAAATTCAAAAAATTTGTATCTTAATAACTTACAAATACAATAAATTATTATCTTAATAACTTACACATTCAATTAAATTATTATCTTAATAACTTACATATTCAATAAACTATTACTATGCATTGACTAATTCACTCTCTCAATCAATACTCTCACATGCACCAAGCCACTAAGACAATACCTATCAACTTTATTGGGTAGTCGTGCCAAGGGAGATATGAACTATTCCTACTGCAAAAGTTGATGACTATTACTATGCATTGACTCATTTACTCTCTCAATCAATGCCTTCACATGCACCATGCCACTAAGACAAGACATATCAACTTTATATGGTAAGTGTGCCTATGAGGAAGATATGAATTATTCCTACTGCAAAAACTTATGACTATTAACATGCATTAACTCATTCACTCTCTCAATCAATGCCCTCACATGTACTCTGCCACTAACACAAGACATATCACCTTTATTTGGTAAGCGTGCCTAGGGAGATATGAACTTGTACTACACTTAAAACTGATGGATGGAGTCCTCCTAATTTCAATCCATACCAACACCTAAATTTACTTTCCCTATAAATACCAATACTCCATATTCAACCTATCATACTCTTCTATTGCATAATAAACCTACCCACTACAACCACCACCCTGCATAGATAAACACATTCATTTTTCTTAGAGGGAGAACTTTGGCATCAACGACCAAGAAACCTATTCAAATTCCTAACTTACAGCCTTGTTTTCAAACAGAGAAATCATTCAATCTGGCGATGGTGTGTAGTTCCAACGTGAAAGTCCAAAGCTCTTTCGCATTCCTTACAACTGCACATTCAACCTTTTGAACGAGAAAGTGTTATAAACTCTAGAACTTCCACCCACCACAGCCATTAACAAACTCTACTTCCGATAGGGATGACAATTAAACCCGTACCCGTGGGGACCGACCCGTCCCCGCCCCGAGTTTGACGGGGAAAATCCGAGTTGACCGGGGTCGGGGTCGAGGCCGGGGGCGGGGATGGGTAATGTAATCCCCACCCCGGCCCCAACCCCGTCCCCGCCCCGACTTTATATTTAAATTTAAAATTAAAAATATTAATACTTTAAATTTATTTTCTTTTCTTTTTCTATTACATATAAGGTTATTTTTTTAATATTTCACCAATTTTTATTTTTCTTCTACCCACTTTTAATTTTTTTGTCTTTTTTAATCTTTTATATCAATTAATTTATTATATTATTCTCTCTCTTACCTTTCTGTTTTTTACATTTCCTTAATTTCTCTCATCAATTTATTTATTTCTTTAATCTTTTCAATCAATTTGATGAACACAAAGTAAATTTTTTTCTTTATCTTTTTCTAAATATTTTACATAAATCCTAGTAGTAACTAATATTATTTTATTTATAATTTATATTTATTAGGTTTTATTATGTCATATTTTTTTATCTTATTATTCTTATTTACCATATATCAAATTTTATCTTAATAAAATAATTGTATTTTAAAGGATTAAAAGAAATTGATAATTTAAACTTTTATTACTTCAAAATAATTAAATAAGAATTACCTTATTAAATATTTTCTTATAAATTATATATTTCATATTTTTAAATGACAACTTAAAAATAATTAACTTATATATATAATTAAATGTTTAAATACAGTATTATAATAATAATATTATAAGTATTCAAATATTTAAATAGTATAATAATAATAATAATAATAATAATGTTATAAATATTCTCTCTATATATATAAATAAAAAATAATTAAATATTTTTTTACATACATATTTTAATATAAATATAATAAATTAAAATGTATATTTAATTAATAATAATTATAAATTATAAAATTATAAGTATTTATTTATATATAAAAAATACATAATAAAATTAATTTATTATAAATGTAATTATCTTTTTAAAAAATAATATAGATCGGGGACTGAACGGGGACGGGGTGGGAACCCGAAACCCAGCGGGACGAGGATGAGAATTTAATTTTTAACCCCGGCGGGATCGGGGCGGGACGGGGATGGTTAAAAAAGTCGAGGGCGGGGATCGGGGAAGCAAAACCCGCCCCCGCCCCGTTGCCATGCCTAATTCTTTCTAGCAGCTGCATGCCTTTTCACTGATATGACCCATTTGAGAGCAAAAGCAATCTTATACCAATGCAATGAAGAAGGAGCCATTATGTATAATGCTCGTCAAATATTAATTGATGTTGACGTTGCATAAATGATTAATTGTAAGTCTAATTCACTCATTAACACAATAATGGAATTGTTTGTTACCTTCACAAGGTCGGCTAGGAAATACTTGGTCTTCTACAACCAAATGCCTCTTCCTCTTCACAAACTCAAACCCTTTTTCGCGTTCACCAACAATGTTATACTATGGAGGACTTTCCAAACGGGCAACCATCAAAGATAGCCCATATGGTTACGAGCTATGTTTCAGATAAGATGTTACTCTGACCATGTCAATCTCCCACAATTTCACCTTTGATGAGCTTGTACAAAAAGTAACCCAAAGAATACGTTGTGGGAACCGGTTCATAGTATGTATAAAAAATTGACTACTTTCGTCCCGTCAGAGTAGTTAATAACATACTTATACATGACACGGTTGAAATCAAATCAGATAATGATATTACACAAATGATCAACCGCTGGAAAAAAATTTAACGTATGGACTTTTCTGTATATCGTCCGGACACGTGGCAGTACATCAAACTGTTCGTTAAAACAAGATATACACGTCTACAACATATCAATTCTTAAATTCTTACAAGAATTTAAATTCATATTAGTAAATTACATTACACTTATATATTTTTTATTTCTTAAACATAGAACTTTTTTTTAAACTATAATTTAAAACATATTACAATTAATCTAATAAACATATAACTCTTTTAAAACTATAATTTCAAACTCCACAAATTTTAAATAAAAAGTTATAGTTTTACATTTATTTTTTATTCACAAATTTTTTATTTAATGTAGAAAGAATTTCAAAAATATTAATACATTATTTTTCTTATCTATAACTTATTTTCATTTCTAAAATATAAAACATATATATATATATATATATATATATATATATATATATCTTCCAAAATATTACAAAACACAAAAAAAATACATTTCAAAAATATAATTTTGCATAAAAATATTATTTCATCTTATATATATAATTTTTAAGATATTTATTATCCTCCTAATTTATTATTATTTTCTAAAAAATATTAAAATATCAAATAATTAAAAAAATTAATCATATAAATAAAATATAAATATAATATTTAATAATATATTTTAAGAATATTATTTTACTACTTTCAAGAATAAATCTAAATATATTATTAATCTAATAAATATATAAATATAGATTTATGATTTTGGTCTCCCAAACTTAATGAATATTTAATATATTTACTTGTATATTTACAATTTTATCCTCTCAGCTTCTCATCAGTTTTGTAACTCTCATATAATTTATGATTTTGTCCCCTCAAACTTAACGATCATTTAATATATTTAAGTATATATATATATATATATATATATATATATATAATTTTATCCTTTCATCATTTCATTTTTTTTATATTTATTTATTATTTATTAATAACATATTATTTGACCCTAAGATTAATTGTGTATCATTACAAAAATATTTTCTTTAGTGTCTCTTAAACCAAATAAAACATTAATTTAATATATATATATATATATATATATATATATATATGAAATTTAAATTCAATCAATCAAATGACATTTGTATTAGTATTTTATATTTGATACACCTTTTCTATAAAAGTTAAATCAAATCAATAACATCTATTATGGAAGATGAAAAATTCATAAAATGTTTGGTGATAAATTTTTTTATGTGATCCGTACTTTCCAACAAAAGGCCTGTTATTAAGCTCAATATTAGCTTGGCAACTCCCTCTAGGTTCGTCAATTGTGTTTAGTCCCATTCCTCGCCAATTGAGTGAATCTAGAGGTGACACGTGTAATGCAACTTTTTAAACAGTTGAGATTTAACTTTTTAAATTCAACTATTAGTCAAAATAGTTCTAAATCGGTTCCTTCTCCTGCTGCTGCTGAATGATTGATTCAACTAATCACACATTTCTTCTCACTACCGTATGTAAATCGCTGGCCAGGAAAATCCGGTATCTTCTCTTATGCATATCTTCACTGAAAAATTTGAGCAAACATATATAAAAAGACAATATTACCCTTTTCTTAAGGGTAGGAAGTCTTTTCAGCAAAACTGAAATAGAAGACGCCAAATAATTATGTTTTCCAGTTTGATCCAAATACATGGAATGCAACAAGGAAAATCAAATTAAATTCAAAACTTAACACTATTCATACAGCATAATATGAAAAATGACTAACACAATTGAATGCGGGAACAAGAAGAATCCAAAAACCGGAATGAGAGAGTGTACATTCTGTGTGGTGATAATGGATGCTGCTGTATCAACGTTGTCCAACAAGACAATTTCCTCAAGTTTCCCATTTTAGACTTGTGGCACCAAGGTAATGCTTCGTCAAATTCCACTTACGGTTCAAGATATCAGACAACAAATTATCAACACCAAGGTTTTCTCTTTGTAATTAAACTTAGTTTTGCTCAAAAATTAATCTGAAACATTTTTGTTTCACCAAGAGTAAATTTTGAACCTTTATTTGTTGCATTTTATTTACTACACTAATAAAATGTGAAAGTTTGATTTTTAAGAACAATTAAATAACATATTTAGAATAATTTGTTGTGTAATTTTGTTTAGTCTAGGTGGTAATCGGTGCATTATTATTATTATTATTATTATTATTATTATTTTCTTAACAGTCTCATTGCAGTAATATTATTGGCTTGCTGTGTGTGTACTGGGACTTGTACATCGTCACAGAGAACATCTATAGTTTTGTTATCTAGGTATTAGATCTGTCTTTTCTAAAATAGAGGTACACCTTAAAAATAAAATACAGTGACTATTAGAGTTGTGATAAAAAATTGTTTAAATCCATCGTTTATTGAGCATCCAAATCTCACTGCAACTCATATTATATTGTGTAGTGGCTTCCATACGCACCATTAGCGCGCTATGGCACGACTTCTCCCAAAACCAACTTGCCATGATGATTTTCCATGTCTTTTCATTTCATTTCCTTGGGGTCTCTTTTATTCAACGAAAGTCGATAGACATGACAAATGGTAATAAAGTTGCATTTGATAAGATATATTTTGTTCCCATTCCAAACTATGATGAGATTAACCATCCAAGCATACCCTCATCTTTTAGACATGGTTATACATAATCAGGTTCTACTTTAACGAAATCTCCCCAACCAATCAAAACCCTTCTGTCACCTTCATTCCCATTATTTATTCCTTGCATTGAGGCTCTTGAAATTTCCACTCACCCTCTGTGGCAATGTGAGTACGGGAAGCAGACACGTCACATGGACACGTGCCAACATCAAGGTCCGAAAGTTGCAGGGTCAAGGGCATTTCGGTCATTCAAGGGTAGCCCTAGGGTTTTTGAGGTACATTCACATTGTCGGTTGTTGCATATTGTCGCCATTTTCCTTTTTGCTGCATGCGGATCTTTTCTGTAATTGGTTTTAGTATTAGTAAGGTGGCTCCTAATACTCTCTCGGTGATCCCTTGGTTGATCGATAAATTGGGTGTGGCATTGCAGAAAAATCAATTGAGTGTTGGTAATGATGGATCTGAAGGAATGGTCGTCTTCAGAGCTGAAGGAGAACAAGAAATGTTGCGCTGATTGCAAAACGACCAGGACCCCACTGTGGAGAGGAGGACCAGCTGGACCCAAGGCCCAACAACACCCATTCCTATTTCATTTTTCCATTTCCCCACCGTGTGGGCTATGGGCTGAATTATTGATTTATTTATTTGTTGTTGATGCAGACGCTGTGCAACGCTTGTGGAATCAGGTACCGGAAGAGAAGGAGTTGTTCCAGGAAGAGAGAGGAGGTGGTGGTGTTGCAGCAGCGGACATCATCCTCTGTTGTGAAGAAACAGAGGTGGAAGATGTTGGGAGAAGAGGAACAAGCGGCTGTGTGTTTGATGGCCTTGTCCTGTGGTTTTGCTTTCGCTTGAACTCCAATCATTCCTTCACTTACCACATTCCAGGTAACCTAATTTTCAGTAATCGGCAATCCTTTTTCCATGTCGATAGCTAACCTCGTCTCCTGTTTTTTGTTTTGGCCATGTAAAGCTGATATCTAGTGTAGAGGGAACGGTTCCCCCCTCCCCCTTTTTTTCACGGTGTTTATAGATAGCTTCAATTAGTTTATGATGTAAGCATTTCAGATTAATGGCTATACTTTTTCTTTTCTTCCATTCCCGTTTTTCCTCAACATACGGTTTATTTTTGTTACTTTCTTCATTCTAGATCAATACTTCTAAATTCTTCTGACTAATATTTTTTACATATTACATTATTTTATATGATAGTACTATTTTCCTTATCCCAGGATTTTGATGCAAGCATCTTTGAAAGATTTATTTTGTTTGCATTAACTAATGTGGAAAAGGATTTTTAGGTCAAGAATAAATTTTAGGTAATTAATTAGTCTTTAGTACATGCATAAGTTATTATAGTTGAATGGATAAAATTATTTGTTGATTCTTCTGACCAAAGTATTTAATTTACTCTTTTAAATCGAAAGAAAAATATTAGTTGAGATATTTATCGATTTTAGTTACTTTATTCTTTGTAGTCGGAACAAATAACCGCTTAAGTTATCTGGAAGAATAATTTTGTCATCCAAAGAGGATGATACCTTTTTATTTACTGTTTAAGTAAATGATTTAATTACCTATTTTTGTGTAAGTTCGTCATGTTATTTTAGTTAACTTATTAAAATAAAATAAAAATAATTATGAATAATAAATATAAGTATTTCTATCACAATATGTCGTAAATAAGTACCTTGACAAATTTGAAATAAAGTATGAGGAGTAATCGAACTTTTTCTCCTAGATGGAATTGCCTGCGTTTAATTTGTAACTTTGTAACTGCTCAAAATCCATGGCGTATTAAAACATGGGAAACCAAAATTACAATTTTTTGCATTTAAAATAGAAGGTAAAGCATAGATCAGACTACGAAATTAACATTATCACTTCTGCAGTTAGAAACCCTAATTGTAGGAGGTTCGAGGCGTGGTAACGCTCTGTTAGGAAATCAATCCTTGAGTTCTTGCTCTGTTCTTAATAAAATAATTATATTTATAATAAATTAATTAAATATATTTTTTAATTTATTATATTTGTATTAATATATATATATATATATATATAAAAGAAATGTTTAATTATTTTTTATATATTATTCTATCAAATTATTTTTTAATATGAGAAAATATTTAATAATTTAATTTTTATTTAAATTAAAATAGTAAAAGTTACAATTATTAGTTTTTAAAATATAATTATTTTATTAAAATAAAATTTAATATATAATAAATAAGAATAAAAAAATTATAATAAATTATAATAAAATAAATTATAAAAAAATAATATTAATTATTATTGTGTAGAATATTTAAGAAAATAAAATTTAATAAAAAAATAAATTATAAATAAAATAATATTAATATTATTGTGTAAAATATTAAAAAAAATATATAGAAGAAAAAAGTAAAAAAAAGAATAATATAATAAAATAATTAATATAAAAGATTAAAAAAGATAAAATTTAAAAAAATAAGTAAAAGATAAATAAAATTAATAAAATATAAAAAATCATCTTATATATAATATAAAAATATTTTTAAAATATTAATATTTTAAAAATTAAATTTAATATAAAGTAATTCAAAATTTTAAAATAGAAAAAAAATCTGAATTAAACTCTGCACTTCGATTATATATATATATATATATATATATATATATATATATATATATATATATTATTTTTTTTTTTCCAAATTCGGACACTCGGATGAGTCCTACACTTATGATTTTATATATTGGTTTTAATTAATGTATTTATATAATATTGAATAAACCATTATGTTCTAATTATGTTTTAATAAATAAATATAAAAATATAGAAATTTTAAAATAAATTTTAAACATAAATTATATTTGTAGTCTATATATAATATTAAATTATATTTTTATTAAATATTAAAAAAATAATTTATATTTTTATTAGTTATGAATATACATATATATTCCAACAAATTTTATTATATTATTAAAATAAAAATTGTTTACTATTATGTTTAAAATTAGAACCTTGTCTTAACTTGTGTAATAAAGATGAATACTTTTAAGGTTAAATTTGAACTATGATTGTAATAAATATATATAATAAAAGTGATTAAAAATAAATAAATCCTCTCTTTCCTTGAAAATCAGTGCTTGAGCGTGATGAACAGTAAATTCGGTCAGTATCGTAAATTTGACCGACGTGAATATAAATAACAGGAATCACGGTTAGAATTTTATGCTCTCGGTCAACATGTAAATACTATAAGATGTCTTGGTCAAAAATTGAAATCAATGAACAAAATACATGGTTGACCTGAAATAATGCTAACAGAAATGAAAAATAATGCAAAAAAATGAAATTAAACCAAATTTATAAATCTGACCGTGATGAACAGTAACCACGATCAGAAACACATCAGACTTAGTCAGAAATATGTGATATCGGTCAAAACAAAATGTAAAAACAATTACTCGGTCAAGAATCAAATGAAAGGTGTAAAATATATGAATGACCGAGTGAAATATACTTTTTTTTTAGTTTTGAGTTTTTAAAATGAAAAATGACTGTAATGAACAGTACCGTCAGTCAAAAAATCAACAAAATGAAAAGGTCTCGATCAAAATGAAATTATGACGAGATGTCTCGATCAAGATTTGAATGCAATGTATAAAATGTATGATTAACCGAGAGAAATGCAATTATTTTTTTATTTTGAGGTTTTAAAACATGAGATGATCGTGTGAGAGTGTTTTGGTGCGCGTGGCTAGAAGCCTGACCGAGTGACAGTGGTCAATTTGGTCAAAATGTTAAAAACAGTTGTAAATGTGATTTGAAAGTATTGAAATGAATGCAGTAATGTATATTTATGAGTTTTTCCATTTTTCTTAGGGGATTTGCAGTGCAGAAAATTAAATTGATAACCTAGCTACAACAAATCTATTCCAAACTAAGTTATTGTATGACATAATAGAAAACAGTACAGTAAAATCTACCTAACATAAGACTAAGCTTCTACAGATATTAAAGCTAGTAATCAAAGCAATAAAACCTAACTACCGTGACGGTAAAGCAATTAAAACATCAAAACAGTAAAATCAAAGCAGTAAAATGCAGAAAATTAAAGAAAGCAAGAACAAGAACTATGAACACGATTCGGTGTAAGCAAAATTGCAAGACTATTGCGTTTTTTACATTGTGAAAACCTAATTAATCAATTAAGTAGTTACCATACAATTCATCAAAGTAATTGCAAGCTTCAATCCTCAATCGAGAAACATCCACAAGCTAAACCAAGTCAAGAACATAAGTCTAGAACAATTTGTCACATGCGATTCAATTTCATAGATTTTGTTTGGTAAAAACCTAATCTAATTCATGAATTCAGTAAAGGAAAAACAATAAAAAAAAGTAGAAGACGAAGATTCAGAACCAATTCATGAAAAATAGTAAAGAAAACGGAACACATACATGAAAAGTATGATGCAAGCAATGAAAAAACCCATGGAGAGAAGCTTGAACGTGAGAGAGAAAATCAGTGCAGAAAAAATACGAATTTGATTGATTTTGAATTCTACAACTTCGATGTGAACAGTAACTAATGATTTCAGTTCAGCTCATATTTTTGTTAACTAATTATTTTGTAAATAAGCATGATTAATAATTATTATATTTAATTATTGGTTTGAAAATAGGAAATAGGTAAAGGACACAAAAACACAATAGACCCAAAAGTGTTCAGTAACTTCTTGGGCCCAACGAGTTAATGCTGATTCAGGAAATACGGTCTGAAGCAAAGGCCTTGCTATGTCAAAACTCAACAAATGTCAAGATTTTCACAAAAGATAGAAATGGGCTGAAAAATATACAATTTGGGTCTTTGAGGGTCCAATTTGGATGGGACATTGAAGAAAGTAGGAAAAAAATCTGTTAGCAATAGATACAAACATGTTTGTTGTCATTGTGTAGCAACAAGCATGAACAACGTATATGTCCATCTCAAGCAACGCATATTCTCACATGATTCTTTTTCTCTTTTTGATGCTGATGCAGAACGCACATTATTTCTTACCAACAGATTCTATAAGAAGAAAATATTGTTGAAGCATAGACATGTATGTATATACCTTTATTAGAATACGAAAACAAAGAGAACTACCATATTCAAATTTGCATCCTCCAATTCACTTCATAACTCAATTTCAACCCACATATTCTTTATTAGAAAGAATTTTGTTTGAGATGAGATCAAATCATGCAATCAAATACTTTGTAGTGAAACCAGTGATTAGATTGAGGTATAACTATTGAATTTTATTATAATAAGAATTTAAAAGTAATATAATAAGTTTTTACATTTATATTGCACTTGATTTAATAATTTACTTTTATGTCTTAATTTATTAATTTAAAAATTTTAATTAAAACAATGGCGTTAAAATTTTCACAGCATTGCACATGAGACATGACAATAATATAAAAAGAGGGGAGTTGAGTGCAGTTAGAGTGAAACAATAGGCGATCCGCAACTTGCGTTGTTGTTGAACGGAGCACGTTCCCTGTCCGAATTTCTTTCTCTCTCTCACACACACTATGATATAACTACATATTTCCTTCAAATGCTTTTCTTCTTCAATTCCAATCGCACCCCCTTTCAGGTAACTTATATTCTTTGCTTATGCTTTCAATCCTTCTTCTTCCTTCCCTCTTTTACGGTTGAATCTTTTCCAAAACTATGCGACTTCTCGGAAATTTTTAAGCTTTCTGGAAATTGCTTTGAAAATGCTCTAAAAAACAAATTTACGTTTTATTCAATCAGCTGTCATTTTGCATCTTCTTATTCGTGCGCTATCAGTCTGTTGCTGTTTGAGATTTTGTCTCACGGAAAATGTCTTGGCGTTTTTTTTTTTTTTTTTTTTCTTGCATCAGATATTGTTGTATTTGGTTAGAAAAGTAAAGTTTGTTTTTTGAATGTAAGTTGAAGGTTGTATCAGTCTTGTTGATGCAATTGATGTATCCATGATTCCTGCCTCCTAAACCTTTGTGAATTTCGAATAATACAGGTTTAATTGGTATAATGTAAGCTTCCCGTTCATTATTTTCGCTAGAGTTGAACATCATTGAAGCCATTCCAATTTATTTTGCATAATAAAACGGATAGTTACCTCACCACAGTTCGTACGTGGTTACAAACAAGTGTGCCTATTATTTATAAAGTGACACTGGTGAATTTTCCTTTGTAAGTCTCAGTTGTCATCCTTCTCGGTCAATGAATTCAAGTGATGATATTGATAAACCCGTAGGACTTTTCCCTGTCAAATAACCTGAATTCGTTATTTAAGTTCACTTATTTTGTTCTTAAGCAATAATATCTTCTATTTTTCTGTGGTATTTGGTTGCTGGCCCTGTATGGAAAAAGCCATATACTATGTAATTTTGGCATTTAGTCTGTGGTGGTTGCTTTGCCAAGGCTTTTCTGTGATTCTTTGTCCAAAAGGAATTGGGATTTGATTTATAATTATATATGGGATTTGCGCAGGGTCTAGTTGTCAACTTGTTATTCTTAGCATGAAATTATTTTGGATAAATCCATTGGTCCAACCCCTGGTTTTTTCTTTTTAATATGATACCTTTCTTAATCTTTCAAAAATTTGCTAGATGTAAGTACCAACTATATATGTTTGGCACGCTGTTATGCTGGATTGGACATCAGAAGATCAGACTTATATGGTAATTTATGCCCCTGGAGTCTTTTTTAGCTTGTGTTTTACATTTGTTCTGTTTCTCCTACTTTCAGGTTGTAGCTACTGACTCATTGTATGAAGAATTCTTGATTACATAACTGATTTAGTTGTCATAATCGAATTCAAAATAAAGACAGGCTCCATGATTTTTTCATTATTACATCTACCTAGATGTAGAATACCAAGATTAACTAATTATTGGGGAGAAACCTTCCACAGTTTCAGCACGACTTGTGGAAACAATTCTAGCATAAGGCCGATTGGTTATAGAATTTATGGTCTTCAGGGAGAACAGAGAAAGAAATGGACAAGACCTATAACTACAAATGCAGAAGGCAAGGGGAACATCAAATCAAAAAGTATCAAGCAAAAAATTTTGAGTGAAACCATTTTAGCAGGTGCTACAGTAGGTGTAAATAAAACACAGCTAGATCAATTCCAGGAAAATCAGTATTGTGACATACAACAAGAGATTGCCCAGAATAAAGACTTGTCTAGCTTAGTTACTGTTATTGTTTTTGACATCGAGACCACAGGGCTTAGCAGAGAGAATGAAAGGATCATTGAAATTGCACTTCGAGATCTTCAGGGTGGTGAGAACAGCACATTTCAGACTCTTGTCAACCCTCAATGCAAAGTTCCTAATTCACGTATTCATGGCATTACTACTCAGATGGTCAATAAACCTGATGTTCCAAGGTAACCTAAACCTTTATTGGTCTTTTATATCTCTGGTCCTTAGATTAAACTTGTCTTTGCTAAACAAGCATTCCATCGTGTCTTTACAGCACAGACGCATATTGTGTATAAAATTTTAATTGATTAGACAGTCAGCATTGCTGAAAAAAGTGAATATTAACAGAGGGAAAGTCTCAATACCTCGAAGTAATCTCACACTACCCAAGGATGAAACAATAACACAGTGAATACCACCCTCACCCCCAAAGAAACTTGTAAATTTAGGCTAAATGTTGGGAACCAACAACTGACTTTAACAGGGAAATCTACACCTGGAGCCCAAGAAACTGGACCATAGTTCTAGATGGGAAATAATAATGAAGGGAAGGAAATTTTCTTTAGAGATGGAGGGAGGTTTGATGTATGTAGAGACGAGAGATTATTTGGTCATGTGTATATAATTGTTAGCTTTGGCCTTTTGGGTGCCAAGGGGATATTCTTTGTCTCTGGAGCTTGTGTGTTTCTCTTCTTGTTTCATGAGTTTACATTTAGTGATAAGAGTTCCCATCTCAAATTGAGATATGTGCTTTTGTTTTCTTTTACCTCCTATTCCTTTTAAGGCTATAGCATGAAGCCATGAACATGTGTGACCAAGTTTAATTCTCTCTAGTTTACTTGGGGAATTAAAAAAATTAAGCTCTTCAATTTCATTTGTTATCGTATATTTCGTCTTATTCTAGGCCTATGACAATTTCCCCTAGCAGTAAATTGGATTCCTTTCTACTACTAAGTGTTAAAAAACAGTTCAAACTTGAGAAACTAAGGCTATAGACTGGAGAACCAGCGGAATCGAAGACTATACACTTTTCTATACAACGAGTGGATTTTCATTTTTGGAAATTATCATGGAAAGTTCACATTTTTATATGTTTGATTTTATGAGAAGTTTGTTGTGTCACTTTCGCATATTTCCATAAACACGAAGATAAGGTGGTAGAAATATGATTTTTAATTGTTGATGAATAAACAATTTACACTAGTAGTTAATTTTGCATAGGAAACTATTGAGTATTTTTGTGCTCTTCCAAATTTTTTGTAGGATGGAGGACCTAATTCCTATCTTATTGCAATATGTCCGAAGTCGTGAGAAACCTGGGGGACATGTGTTATTGGTTGCTCATAATGCTCGTTGTTTTGATGTCCCCTTCATCATGAATGAGTTACGACGTCATTCTATGAAGATGCCTCCTAATTGGTTGTTTTTAGACTCCCTGGCTTTAGGACGTGAACTACTGAAATCTGGAGGTCTCCTTCTCTTCTCTTTGTTTCTCTCTATATAAGTGCACACATGCAAAATGCACAAATACTCGCTGTTTCTGTGTGAAAACCTTAACTTTTTGCTGTGTTAACAGAAACTGAACTTTCTTCAACTTCCCTTGCTGCCCTTCGTGACCTCTACGGAATTAAAGTGGATGGATCAGCTCACAGAGCTATGGTAGATGTGAACACATTGTCCTTGATTCTTCCTAGGTTGACATGTGATCTGAAATTGACTCTATCTGATCTTGTAAAAAAATCATTCAAAGAATCAGATATTATCAACTCCAAGAAGAAGAAGAATTTAGACTAGTTTTCTAACTGTATTTTGCAAAGATGTTGTGACAAAATAATTATTTTGTAACAAAAAATTGGGCTCACTAGATTTGTACCTAAAGGAAAAAAAGAAAAATTGTTTGTAATTGTTGACTTGTATCAATAAAATTCACTAATTATCACCTAGTTTTGAAGCTTTTACTTCACTGCAAGAATTATTTGATTTGGTTTTTTAGTGGAAAGCAAAGCATCCCAGTAAAACAGGATAGTGCAGTTCGTTTTAAGAACACTCACTGGGAAGATTGTAGGAAGAAAAACGAGGTGAATCTGATAACTTGATAAATATAAAGGGGAAAAAGAGATGATATCAAATAGTATATGTAATTCGGCTTTTAAAAAACTTTTTTACATAAAGATTTTGAAAAAATTATAATTATTTTTTATATATTTTTAGGAATAAGATTTTGTAATTTAAATTTTCAATATTTTATAAAATATAAAATCATGATATTTGAAAGAATTTTATATATTTACAAAAATCAAAGTATTTTATATATTTAAAAAATCATAAATATTCTATATATTTAAATTATCATAGAGAAATACATATTAACTTATTATCTTATTTTTCATGTAAATTAAATATTGATGTTACGATAAATTAAATAGGATACTTAGGTCATGAATGAAAATAATAAATAATTTTATTATTTATCATATGCTTTTGGATTTTTAACTAACACTTCAAAGTTACAGTGTTATGTTAATATAAATTCGGGCTATGTTTTAAACATAAATAGAAAAGTAAAAAAATTAATTAAAAAATGATTGAAAAATAAAAAAATTAAGAATGAGTATTTCGGTGTCATATCACTACAATAATATATATTCATTATAATAATATTATTAAAATTAATTTTTATATTTAATATATTATCTATTTTAAAAAATTTATTGATTTTGTCTTAAAAAATATATAAATAAATTAAGAGATAAAGATATATATAAATTATTAATAATCTTAATTCTTAAATTATACGATAATTATGAAGATACAGAACAAATGCATTTTTTCAAATTCAATAATCATTCAAGAAAAATATTTAAACATTACTAGGATAAAAAACTAAAACCTATTTTTATTTATCAAACAATCTTATATAATAATAAGAAGAGCAAGAACCTAAATCAATAATAATAAAAAAAAGAATAAAAAAGAGAGGTACGTAGATGTTGAAAAATATTTAAAATTAAGTGAAAAAGTTTTATTGTTGATTTTGAACAAAATATTAATGAGAGTAAAAAATAACATAAATTTGGTCTGGCATAAAGAATAACAAAGAATACACAAAAATTTAAATTTGCTTTCGTTGAGAGTCGAACTCAAGACCTCCCGCTTACTAAACGGGTGCTCTAACCAACTGAGCTACGAAAGCTGATAAAATAAATTTTATTTAACATTATATTACTTGTTTTTATTATTTTTAAAAGAATATAATTTTTTATATTGTAAAATATTTTAAAATGAATGGTAAAATATTTATTATAAAAATGAATCTTACCAACAATTTTTAATTAAATCAACATAAAAAAATACTAAACTAGAAAATAAAGTATAATGATAATCATTAATTTAAAAATTAATAGTTAAGAGTTACGACAATATTAAATACAGTAATATATGATATAATTAAAAGTTGTTGGATTGTAATTAATAATTACGAGTATAAATATTTCATAATTTATTCCTACATGTCGTTCTAGCTTATGGCAAACATGTGAAATAAGAAAGGTTCAATTATAAGATTTCTAACCTAAAGATAAACTGTGTTTTATTATGATATCAAGAGGAAAACACGTTGACTTATAAATAGTAAATTTTACTTCGTATTAACTACATTGAAGAAAATACATTTGTACACTAACATGTCTCACATCGATAGGTAGAAAGGGAGGACAAGGAACACATAATTAACACTAAATTTGTTTTTCAACACAGTTAAATTTGTCTCCAAAAATGTGGTTACTTCTATAAATAGCGTTTAGTTTCTTGTTGTAGAAATTCATTTTATTGTTTGTCAAAGTTGCTCAATCAATTAAAACAATATTCAATAGTTATTCTTTATTTTATACAATTTATGTAGATAATTTGAGTTATAATGGTGAATTATATTATAGCATCATTTGGATAATCAAAGATAAACTACAAATTGTAGCCTTTTATCACCCAATAAATATAAATAAGTGATACAGCGGGAAGTTCGGAACTAGGTTCGAGGTTCGTTTTTTCTACGTTAATATTATAGACAGGAAAACTAGAGGGTGAAAAACCAGACAACCAAGAGAAAGAGAAAGGACTAGAAATTTCAATCCTATTTTCTTTCTCTTTGCTTTCTTCAATTCCTTCACATTCTCCGTGATTCTGTTGTTTCATTTTGAAGCTTTTCTCAGATTTACGGTGTCCATATATTCATTCATTTTCTTTTCTTTGAGGATTCAGCTAGACTTTTTTTTCATTTATACAAAATTTGTATTATTCTCCCCAAGACTCAAGCTTTCCATACGAGTCTTGGGTTATATATCATTTGGGTTAATATTTAACATTTGAGTTCAATTCTGGCTCCACCACCAGCTTGGTGTTGTTTCTTATGAGCTTCTTGAGGCCTAATTATGGCAACTGAACCAACTTCAACATTCTCTTTGGCTTCTGTGGTTGAAGAGGTTCTTCAACAACATGGTGGTCGGTCAGACGTTAACTCTGCATCAAGAAATGCTGAAGAAACTTGTATATATTATCCTTTCTCTTCATATTTTTTTATCAATTCAAACTTTTTACTTTCAGCATATTATGTAAATCAATTCAATTTTTGTGTGTGCGCGCCTGAAACGCATTGCTAATATTGTTTTTCCTGGCAAAAGATGTTGCTTTCAAGTTTCAACCAATAAATGAAACTTGTTTTTGTTGAAACATTTATTCTTTTGGCTTCAATAAGGGGTCTTGATTGTTCCTACAATGATGAAAGACATACTTGTAATGGACAAAACTTAGATGCTTTGCTTAATCTTTAGCTTTTTAATGTTTCAGATGGGAGTTTGCTAACTATATTGATATTCAGTGCAAGCTTTTATTATACATATTACTGAAGTAAAACATTGAATCTAATCGAATAACAAAACCAGAAACACTTGTGTCCATTTTGTGCATTAGTAATTGCATGAACCGTAGAAAACCTGAGTGATCTCCAAGAAAGAGTAACATGGATATTTAACACGGATGTTACATGTCTCGTGTTCTAGCCTTGAGAAGGTATGAAGCAGCTGGTTGGCTACGGAAGACAGTTGGAGTTGTTAAAGGGAAAGACTTGCCGGCTGAGCCCTCTGAAGAAGACTTCAGGATTGGATTGCGTAGTGGGATTATCCTATGCAGTGTTCTTAACAAAATTCAACCTGGATCAGTGCCCAATGTACTACATCGTATTCATATATGTTTAATGTTCCACTTTACGTTCGCTCCTTCAGTACTTTCTGTTTTAACATTTATTGGACATTTGGACCTATGTTTTTAGGTAGTTGAAGGACCTCGTGATTCTGTTATTATTCCTGATGGGGCAGCAGCATTATCTGCATTTCAATACTTTGAAAATGTTAGGAAATTTCTTGCTGTTATGGAGGAAATGGGGCTTCCTACCTTTCAAGTTTCTGATTTGGAACAGGTGGTTATGGATAAGTCTTAAAACTTTCTGTTTAGTACTTTGATGACCTCAGTAGATTATAAGGATCAATGTCAATGCAATTGAGACTGTTATTATTACAGTACAACATAATTTCCTTCCTTGTTGTATTTACAGGGAGGAAATTCTTCGAGGATAGTGGATTGTGTTCTAGAGCTCAAGTCTTATGCCGAACGAAAACTTGGAGGAGCAAGTGGGTCTGGGAAATATAGCGGGGTTTCCCATGCAAGGCCACCTATCTCTGGGAAACCACTTCAGAGGAAAAACTCAGAACCATTCATGAATTCTTTGTGGACTATGCCATCAGGGGACAGAGATGGTTATATGAGTGATCCCGGACAAGATCGAAGCGAAAAGGTTAGGAAGCTTTATTTTTATATTATTTATACTATATTGTTTAGATGGCGAAGGTCATCTGTCTAAGCCTTTTGAATTGGTATCTGCAGGGTTCTTTTTCCTTAAATTCACTAGTTCGTCAATATTTGTCTGATAAAAAGCCAGAAGAAATTCCCATTGTAAGGCCTGATGATTCTTTGATAGATATTTGATCATCATGTTCCGCTCTACATTAGATTCAGAAGAAATAACTCACCATTTTAAAACATTATAAAGTATTTAACCAAAAATACATTCCAAAGATACTTATATGTATACAGCATAAATCAATTTGTTCAATGAATTTATCCTGGTTTTTTCTTTTTCTTTGATATAAAATGTTTTGCCATAACAGATAGTGGAATCCTTGCTTAGCAAAGTCATGGAGGAATTTGAACATCACATGCAAATCCGACATGAAATGGTTTGTGTCTCTCTCTTCTAACAATGTTCAATTTCATACCCCATTTTTAAAAAAAAAATCATACTTCTTACATCTTAGAAAACTTAATGCCAAAATTTTAATCATGGCAGCGTAAAACAACTCAAGTTAAAGCACCATCTGAAACAGATTGTTCAGTTTCAGAACCTGCTTCTATTAGTGAAAGGGTAAAATTCAGATTCAGAAATAATTTTTTGTCTTACAAGTGTGCAAATAAAAATGATTAGATTGATCATTATCTTGATCTCAATTGCTTTACCTTTTTGTCGGATGGTTATTAGGAGAAAGAAAAGGAAGATGAACATAATGTACCAGATGATAATGATGCACAAGATGAACATGAGGTACAAGAAGAGCAGGACATTCAAGATGAACACAACGAACAAAATAAACAAGAGGAAAGTAATGAAGGGACGTACAATGAGCATGAAAAAACAAGTCACCAAATTTCGATTTCGAAGCAGCAAAAAATAGTTGAACAACAGAATAGAAGCATCCAGGTAATTTCAATATATACCAGATTATGTTGATTTGTTCAAGAACTAATGAGGTAAAATAACTCATTTAATGCAAACTTTCTTTAGGAATTGAAAAACTCTGTCCGTGAAACAAAATTAGGAATGCAAAATATGCAAAATGAACACCAGAAGGAGATCATTAATCTAAGTAAGTTCAATGATAAAATAAATCCCTCTAGTCAACATTTACAAAAAATATCAATTATATAACTCACTTTGTCTAAAACCTTAATAGGCAAGCACATACAGAGCCTAGCCTCTGCTGCTTCGGGGTATCATAAAGTTCTTGAAGAAAACCGCAAGTTATACAATGTAGTGCAAGATTTGAAAGGTGAATTGTAATGATCAAGACTTTACATCTAAAATTTTTCTCCTTGATTGTTCATGTTATAAATGGGAGTGGATGGCAATAAATTTTTCATGTTGGTAGGAAATATTAGGGTATACTGTAGAGTCCGACCTTTCTTGGGTGGTCAACCAAGCCATTATAGCTCTGTCGGTAGCGTGGAAGACGGAAGTATCTCAATCATAACACCTTCCAAAAACGGTAAAGAGGGGAAGAAGACATTTACTTTCAATAGAGCATTTGCTCCTACTGCAACCCAAGGTTGGTCATAATTGTCCTTCTTGTTGCTACTCAAGATATTTATGGTCATTGCAACCTCCATTGTATTGACATTTTTCTGTAACTTCCTTCAATATCAAGTAGTTCGATGAAATTGTGACTGTGACCACAATTTAAAACCTTTTTACTCATTGTATTTATCACCGTTGTTGATATTTACGATTTGCTTACAGGTGAAGTTTTCCAGGACACACAACCTCTTATTCGTTCTGTTTTGGACGGTTATAATGTCTGCATATTTGCTTATGGGCAGACGGGATCAGGAAAAACGTTCACTATGGTAATAGATTCAGACAACCTTGTTTTCACCCTCTCACTTGAACAACTTCATTAGTTGATGTGACTATGTATTGATACAGTCTGGACCGGATGATCTTAACGAGGAAACCATAGGTGTCAACTATCGTGCACTAGGAGACCTTTTCTATCTCTCAGAGCAAAGGAAAGATACAATTTCTTATGAAATCTCTGTTCAGATGCTTGAGATTTACAACGAGCAAGTTAGGGACCTACTTACGACAGATGGTGCTAATAAAAGATATCCTTTCTTTAATATAAACTAATAGTTTAATATTTATACCCAATCTTCAATTGTTGATTCTCTTTTCGCTTAATGTAATCCTTAACACGTGCATACGTTAGAAATCCGCAATAGTTCCCTTAATGGCATCAACGTTCCAGATGCCAACCTTGTTCCGGTTTCATGCACTTCTGATGTCATAAATTTGATGAACTTGGGACATAAGAATCGTGCTGTTGGTTCTACTGCCATGAATGATCGCAGTAGTCGCTCTCACAGGTAATTAGAAGATTGTTATCATTAGTTCTAGACTTTAGGGTATGTACATTTTCAGGTGTGTTAATGAAAATAATTAGTGCAATGATCTCACTTAGTTGGCCTTGGCCAACTTCTACATTGATTATTTATATCATCATATAATTTGGTACTGTGTTACTAACTACCTATGGTATATTATTGCAGCTGTCTTACAGTTCATGTTCAAGGAAAGAACTTGACATCAGGAAGTACTATTCGTGGTAGTATGCATCTGGTTGATCTGGCAGGAAGCGAGAGGGCTGATAAAACTGAGGCTACAGGGGATAGACTTAAGGAGGCTCAACATATCAACAAGTCACTTTCTGCATTGGGAGATGTAATTTCTTCCCTTGCCCAAAAGAGTCCACATGTTCCCTACAGGAATAGCAAACTTACTCAGCTACTTCAAGATTCTCTTGGTATGGTGTTTCGTGTATAATTCTTTGACTACATACGACATGGTTTTTCTCCTTTTGGCTAATAATGAAGTGTTTTATGTATCTTAGGAGGGCAAGCAAAGACTCTCATGTTTGTTCATATAAGTCCAGAGCCTGAAGCTCTTGGAGAAACACTTAGCACACTCAAGTTCGCTGAACGAGTCTCCAGTGTTGAACTCGGTGCGGCGCGAGTTAATAAAGAGAGTTCAGATGTTAAAGAGCTTAAAGAACAGGTCCTTACATTTAATTTTTTTTTATCATGATACCTTCAAATATAATTTTTAGTGTGTTTGAGTATTTTTGTGCAATCATATTTGTCAGATTGCTAGTTTGAAGGCAGCCTTAGCGAGAAAGGAAGGAGGAGAAGCAGAAAACTTTCATCAATCTGTGAATAGTAGTGGCAATGAAACACCCAAGTTGAAATCATATTCATCTTCTCCTCCTATTCAACAACGTTCTTCGATTGGCGGTTCTCGTAAGCTAACAAAAGATGATTCTGGTAGCCCGGATGTAAGTAGCATGTTATTTACCTTAGTTCCTTCAAATTGATAAATTATTAGAGGATCTACAACCATATGATCTGATCAATATCTGTTTTAACACAATAATATTCCAGTAGAAGTAATTTAAAAATACAAAAGTATTAGAACCAAATAATAATATTATGTTAAAATCACTGACATATAAGTTTCTTACAGAGTCAGAAAAATGTTGCATTACAGTTGAAAAGACGAAGCCTAGATCTCCACGACATGAGTAGCAGCAATTCACAGCCATGGCGACCTGCTACAAGTCCAGGAAAGGAGGATGACAAAGAATCAATTTCTGGAGATTGGGTTGATAAGATTTCCATGAAAAGAAATGACAGCTTGACTAGTGATGACAGTCTCGTGGGACAGTGGGAAGTAGAAAGCAAACAATCTTCTCCAAGGTTAAGTCCCACTTTTCTCTCGGAGACTTCTAAAATATGCCTAGACAACTCCTTGACTAAGAAGGATAGCCTAGACAACTCCTTGAATAAAAAGGATAGCCAAGACAATGAAGATTTACAGAGGCACGGGTTTGACACGACTACCACAGATGAATCAGATGAACACGAAATTGCAACTGTAACTAGTGATTCTTCTGAAGTAGACTTGCATTGGCCAGTACCAATACCTAAACCAATCACCGTTTCAAGTGGATTAGGCATTAAAGCGAAGAAAAAAACTAATCTCAGATCAATAAAGAACACAGATAGCAGGTAATTTACCCTCTTAATTACAGTTTATGCTTGAAACTTAACGTTGCATACAAGCCTCTCAAAGATATTTACTGTGACTTTTATTTTATATGGCTTTCCTACAACCTTCCATGCAAATAGGAGTATGATCCCATCCTTCATTCCTGCGCCTGCGCCCTCGCCTGCGCTCGTGCCAGTGCCAGTGCCAGTGCCAGTGCCAGTGGCATCAAGGAAACAACCCAACCCAGTTACTCAAGTAAGAAAGCAACCAGGATCTTCTGATGTAAGGAGAAGGTTTGGGAACGCAAAGTGAGAATACGTTCTTCATGGCTTTCCTCATTCCTTGCTTTCACAGCCATGATCACATTTTAATCGGCTAAATCACCATTAAAGATATCCTTGAGATTGATTTTCTTCTTTAAATATTTATGACATCAAACTGATCTTCTAAAGATTGAAAAAACATTGAAGTGATTCAAGTTGTTTGACATCGAGTTTGACAGAGAAATCATTTTAGTGTTGCAACTCTTTAGTACTAGACCAAATTGATGTAGGTGCATATTTAGAGAACCAAACTAATAGCTTAGTAATTTTTTTTCTCTCTTTTTTGTATCTATAATTTTGTCGAGGAATTGTGCAAAAGAGGTTTTTTCATTTTGCATTTTGGTGGAAATATAAAACCAATTCCTTGAGTTCATGTACTTAATTAGTATCAATGAACTGTTCTCAACAACATTTCATTATGTATGTTTGTATTGAAGTATATAAAACTATACTTGTATAGTGGATGCATAAGTAGGACTACTTTTATTTTTGTAATATTTTATAATTTTCCTTTTCTAATTTTATCATTAGAATAACACTATTATTATGTTCAATTTCTTTATAATGTTTTTTTATTACGTCATTTTCTACTACTTTACATTTTATTATTATTACATTAATATACTATAAATTTTTATTCTTAAGATTATAATATTAGTTTCCTATCACCTTTTAATTTGTATATTTTATCAGTGTTATTTATAATTACTTTATATTTGGTTAAAGATGTATATATAAAACTTTAATGTTCATGCCGAAAAACTAAAATAATTATTTTAGGTTTTCAAGTTAATAAACTTATCGTATAATGACTTATTTTTGGATAATTGGGTAAAACGAATGCATACTTTTTTTTACTCATTTTCGAGTTAAAGTTGTGTAGTTATTTTTATAATTTTGATTTAAACAACTTTATTTATATTTTTCTTTTTAATTTTAAAACCTTTATATTATTATTATTATTATTATCTTTTTCCTCAGTAAATTACCAATTAGATTCTTTATTTATTTATCTAATTCAATCGGATCCTTTTATTATAAATATTAATTTAATGTTTTATTAAAAAATATTAAAAAAATAAGTATAATATTATCTTTTTTTCAATTAAAAATATTATATCAAAAAATAAATTTAAAAAAAATTTATCATAAAGCCAATATTTCAACTAATATTTTTTTAATTATTCACTCCAAATATATTTATAGTTCACCGAAACTTCTCAAACTCTTCTATTAAATACATCACTTTTACATCACTTTTATCAACCATTTAATTATCAAGACTTCCAAAATGCAATATAGAATACTTACTTAAGATTAACTTCTAACTTAATTTTTCTCCTTGATATCTTTATTTATTTAATTAAAATTACTAATAAAGTCTGAAATTTTCTTCTCGAAACTCAATATTCACACTACAAAAATAAAATTATAATATTACCATGTCACAGTGCAAAAGTTCAATCTCATTATCTGATATCTACTCAAGAACTCTACCAGCACTAAACATATTCATCAATTTTATCAAATCCAACACTAATAATATCTTTAAATAAATATTAAACTATCATCTTACTTTATCAAAACAAAACAAGAGAAAAATAATTAGAAAATTTTAAAATAAAAACATTGGACTAATATCTTAAGTTGAACACGAAACTTGTGGCTGAGCACTAAAAATCCTAACTGAAATTAAACACTAAATAGGGTGTGCGTCACCCAATTTTGAATGATCATATTAATTCAACGTCAGATTAAAATTGAACATCATTAGTTAAAATATAAATGTTGATCCTATTCAGGTATTAAATTGAAATTTTATTATTATATTTTTTATAAAAGTATTTTTAATTAGTGATGTTAGAACTGGTTCCTAAAATCTATAAATTTTAAAATATATTTATAACAAATTTGATAAATTAAAAAAATATTATTGAAAAAAGAATTAAAAAAAAGAGTAAGTTCGATAATATTCATATATTTTACAATAATAAAAATTTGATTAAATTGTTTTTGCACGGTATGTAGTGCAAGTAAAATGTAAATATGGAAAAATAGAATTACCCCAATCCCTTCTGTTACAATCTAGAGAATTTTTGGACAAAAAAGTCATAAAAAAGATTCCTCCCTGTAACCAAAATCAAAAAAGGACCTCCTTTGTACGCGTTCCCTTTACCAATCAAATCAGCAATGCTCTCTTCTTCTCCGTCACTGCCACTCTCATTCTCTCTAGTCTAGGGTTCAGCAGCATTTCATCTCACCTCTCTTCTTCCCAAATGTCGTCTCCACCGCTTCTACCATCGAATCACTAATGCGCTTGCTTTTGCCCACGTGCAATGTACTTCATTCTGGCTTCTCGATCTACTGCATTTTCATCTCTCGCTTAATTTTCCATATTATTTCCATTTCTGGATTGTATTGATTTAATGGTTTATGTAAACAGTTTTTTCACGCTTTTCCTATCGTATATGTTTTACCTAATTTGAGCTGAATGGCGAAGAAATTTCAATGATTCGGTGTTTCTATTTTAACTACATTATCTTAATCTTAAATTTGGTGAGACGTTGGCTCGCAATTAATTCTTCTGGTGGTGATTTTATTTGATTTTGATATTTTATCTGAGACATTTTTTTTTGGTGCGTGTGAAGTTAGGCTCTGGTTTGTTTAACACTAATGCGAGTTATTATGCTTACACGATCTGTTCTTCTTGATTTATTGCTTCACACGTAGATCTTATTTTGATAATAAATAAATCGCGTCCATTGATATATCACACGCAGATCTAATATATGACAGCTATTCTTTTTTAATTTTTATTGATTTTTCTTCGAATTCATTTGGACGATTAGGTATATTTTATTCGCTGCGGTTCCAGAAATGTTGAATTCTGAAATGAGGTAAGATGAGTAGGACTGAATTATCGAGGTCCAAGCCACCGGCGGTTCCTTTGGGAACTCTGATTGGCCGTGAGATTCGAAATGAAAAAGTTGAAAAACCTTTCGTGAAGTATGGACAAGCTGGATTGGCCAAGAAAGGAGAAGATTACTTTCTGATCAAGACAGATTGCCTCAGGGTTCCTGGGGATGCATCGACGGCGTTTTCTGTCTTTGCGGTATTATTTGTCTTCTTGGTTTACGCCTATGTTTACTTAAGTTGATTGACATCATTTGAGACTTAGGGAAGTGTTTGAATATTAGGAAATGAGACTGTGATCTTAGCTAAGGTCTTGATTGGATAATTTTTTGTGTAAATACTAATAGGAGAAGAAAAAAATATATATTTTATTTTTCGTAAGTCAAAATATCAACCGATGCGAATTAATTTTATGTGTCATTTAACTTTTCTAAAATCTTAAGTCCATAAGTTGATTTTAACTGATAAAAGAAAGTTTGATTCATTTTGCTTTTCATTTTTTTCATTGATAAGTAGTTATGAAGAGTTTAATCAAATAATGCCTTAGACTGAATTGGTAGTTGGCTCTGAATGATGGTTTCTCTGGGTTAGTAGGTCTCAAATGGGAATTGAAGGGCATTACGTTTCTCCCTTTTACATTTCTCAGTGATCAAAGGGTTAATTTATTCCCACAATAGTTATGATATTCATAAGCAATTCTTGATTGGCAGATCTTTGATGGGCATAACGGGATATCAGCTGCTATTTTTGCAAAGGAAAACTTGCTAAGTAATGTTTTGAGTGCAATACCCCAAGATATTAGCAGGGATGCATGGCTTCAGGCCCTTCCTCGCGCACTGGTTGTTGGTTTTGTGAAGACTGACATAGAGTTTCAGCAAAAGGGTATGTACAAAATATTCTTCGGTTGCTTCATAGATATTCTGTGCTTGCTCAAGCTGATCTTTTAATTTCATCTGCAGGGGAAACTTCCGGAACAACAGCTACATTTGTTTTGGTTGATGGATGGACTATAACTGTTGCATCTGTTGGGGATTCACGCTGCATATTAGATACTCAGGGAGGTGTTGTTTCTCTCTTGACAGTTGATCACAGACTGGAAGAGAATGCAGAGGAAAGGGAGCGTGTGACTGCCAGTGGTGGTGAAGTAGGAAGACTCAATGTATTTGGAGGCAACGAGGTATGATGCCATCGCCTTTGTGCTTTCTAATAAACATTGCTTAAACTTAGTACCTTTCGCCTGCAAATATATTTATAGGTTGGTCCTCTTCGCTGCTGGCCTGGTGGACTGTGCCTATCTAGATCAATAGGTGATACAGACGTGGGGGAATTTATTGTGCCAATACCACATGTTAAGCAAGTGAAGGTGAGCTAGTTTCATAATTATGTTCTTTGTTTGGTGACCTATTTATGTGCTCATAAACATTTCTCTATTGATCTCTCAGCTTTCAAATGCTGGTGGAAGACTTATTATAGCATCTGATGGTATTTGGGATGCTTTATCTTCTAATATGGCTGCCAAGTCATGTCGAGGTCTACCTGCAGAGCTTGCTGCAAAACTAGTGGTTAAGGTGGTGATTGGTTCAGGCACTCCTCCCCTACTTTTCAGGAATGGATGTCCAATATTTAGTAAATTCTTTGTTTTGTTCCTTTTTCCCAGGAAGCTCTAAGGTCCAGAGGCCTCAAGGATGATACAACCTGCCTTGTTGTAGATATTATTCCTTCGGACAACCCTGTATTACCACCAACTCCAAGAAAGAAACATAATATGCTAACATCGCTTCTATTTTTTGGAAAAAAATCTGAGAACTCTGTGAACAAAGCTACCAATAAGCTATCTGCAGTTGGTGTTGTGGAGGAGTTATTTGAAGAGGGTTCTGCAATGCTTACTGAAAGGTAAGTTCTTTCATTTTGAAGCCTTTTACAATTAAAGGCTTGTATGCTGTCTTGAAGTGCAATCAGCTTAACTAAAAAATGACTGCAATGAAATGATTTCCTTAGCATGTGGGTGTATATGCATGGGCAATTCTTAAATTCTATATTTTCTTAAAATGCAGGCTAGGTAAGGATTTTCCGCTTAATAAGAATTCTGGTATTTTCCGCTGTGCGGTTTGCCAAGTGGATCAACCCCCTGGTGATGGCTTGTCGGTGAATTCTGGACCTTTTTTCTCTCCAGCATCTAACCCGTGGGAAGGCCCATTCCTCTGCGCAAACTGTCGGAAGAAGAAAGATGCCATGGAAGGAAAAAGGCCTAGCAAACCCACCGTCATAGCATAGTAATTATCAAGTATTACAGTAACATAGTAAATATTAGTATAATTTTTCTCTGGCAGTGTGAGCATTGTTGATTTTACATTTGCGGTGGCGATTGTCATAGATGTGCAAGAAATGGGTTGAGAATTGAGATAGGTCTAGTAGGTGTTTTGGAGCTTGCTTTTGCTCAGTTGTTGGACAGTCTGACAGAACAAACACGTTGTTTCTGGTAGATAAAAATTTCAAGTGGAATGTGCTAACGGCTTGTATTTGTAAGTAAACTGAAGCTTTTGTGGCTACCTCTCTTTGAGAGTGCTTCAATGCTACAGCCCAAATGCACTGTCTCTTCCAAACTTGTTATACAAGTACATGTCTCCGAATTCGATGTCTAGGATTCTTGTGAACCCCCACCCCCAAAATGCTTAATGGACTGTCTCACCGATGAAGTAGGATAAATGGTGGATTAACCACGTGGGGTTGTAAAACAGTGTTTGCTAAATTTTATTTTTAAACAGTAATACTTTGCTTGGAAGTGGAGTTTGTTGACTATAACGTTTGATCTGTATTTTAAATGCGATGTGACTTCTAAGTTTGGTTTGGTTTTATGTAGTGTTAACCTATTATTGTGATTTGTTTTAAAAAAATGGAATAAATAATAAAATTTTAAAAATTAAAAGCAAAATATATTTTTATGATTTAAGTGGTATTAATGAAATTAATTTTAATTTTAGATATAATTATATAATATATAATTTATATATATATATATATATATATATATATATATATATATATATATATATATATATATATATATGAGAAATTTTTTTTAAGTAGTCAACCCATAAAGTATTTGGGGCAGGCTGGTTTTTTTATTACGAATTAAATGTATTAGACCAAAAATGTTTGAATTTAATTTAAATCATGATTTTATTGGTATAGCATCATATGAAACCTATTTTACAGCGGGGATGGCGAAGGCGTTAGTCACCTCTAGGATGTGAAGTGAAAGAAGGGAGGGAGAGGGAGAGGCAAGGCTGAGCAGAGACGGTTGCTCTAGGGGAGGAGGACGAAGGTAAGAGAGGTAAAAAGGTATTTTCGGAATATGAAAAGGTTAAAAAGAAAACTGCAAAAATAAAAAAGGTGATGAAAAAAAAAAGACCATTAGAAATTTGGACTCAACTCAAGCCCAAATTTAAAGCTGAAATTTGTAAATACCCGCGCTATTTGAAATCAAAAAAAATAATAATTAGATTTACATTATTTAAGATTCGAATCTATTGTCTATCATCTCATTGTTGAAGTTAAGTTTGAATTGATTCTAAAAGATTAATTGTTCTTTTTGGAATTTATTAAATAGACTATTTATTTTATTAAAAAAATAATAGGGAACAAATATTATATTTATTTAATATTAATAAAAAATGAAATTTCTTATTACATTGTAAAATGTTTTTTTTTTAAACTCATATAATTGAACACTTTTAATAAAAAAATAAAATAAAAGTAAAATATTTTATATTTAATAATAAAAAAAATTACACCTTGTTCAACCATAATGTATTAGGCATTGTACAAAATTGAAGCCCATAGTCTCCGGAGCTTGGTATATAGCCTCCACTGTCACGTTATTAGTCCTAACAGAAAACAAAATAACCTGTAATTTTTGTGCTAGTTATTTTAATATAAAAAAAAAAATAAAAATCTCTAAACTTGTATTTGGATCAATGAATTTACATTTACTATTTATAAAGAAACCAAGGGACGGAATTGAGTGGATGTTTCATGTTTGTATCTACCTATACAAGCAGATTCACAAAGAAAGTTTGGTGGGACCATATATTATAATTTACCTTCAATTAAAAAAAATGTAAAGAAAGTTAACTTTTTTTTTCAAGATGTAATATCTATATTACCCTTTTATCAACTTTTTATTATAATTATTTCTATTTTATCATTCATAATCATTTGTTTTTCATGTAACCAATATAATAAATATGAATTAAATTATATCTTTTTTATTATATATTATTTTTAGTTATTTATATTATTTTTACTTATATATAAATTTTTATTTATAATATAAATATATGTTAATTATATATATATATATATATATATATATAAATCATATCTCAATCAATTATATTTTTATTATAATTAAATTATATTATAAACAAAATATTTATCATAAAATAAAAATAAAAAACCTAATCGAATACATAAATTTATATAATCGATTATATTAAAAAAATATTATATTTATTATATATAAGTTAATGTTATAATATATATTTTTAGTTCTACGTGATTTTATAGTTTTTATTATAATAAAATTAAAATTATATTTTAAATAGAAATTTGTTTTTTAATAATGTTGTTGATTTTTTTATTATAAATCTTTTTATTATATTTTAATTTTCTTAATTTGTATTTCAAATAATTATTTATACATGATTTTTAATTTTTAATTAATTAATTTATTTATTTATTTATAAAATTTAAAATTTTTAAAATTAATTACTTTTTATAAAATAATTTATTTTTATTTTTATTAAATTTTAAGTAAGAATATTTTAGTAATTTAATAAATTATTCTTTTAATTTTTTATTATTTTATTTTTATTATAATTTTTTTAATTTTTACTTAAAATAAATTTTTATTCATGATTTTTAATTAATAATTTATTTTTATATAATTTAAGTTTTTTTAAATTAATTACTTTAAAATTAGTTTATAAAATAATTTATTTTTATTTTTTATTCAATTTTAATTAAGAATATTTTATAAATTTAATAAATTATTTTATTAATATATTCTTTTATTTCAAAACAATTATAAAATAACTTATCACCCACGCAGTGAAAAACTTATTATTTACGTATAGTTCCACGCAGTGATTATTATTTAGGTATAATTAAGAATTTTTTATTATTTGCATGAAGGTGTGTATTTGCAGAAATTTAGGTATACTTCACACGAGGTGAAAAACTTATCACCATCCGTTTAATTATACTTAATATATAAAATAATATTAATATATTTAAATATTATATATAATAGATTAATTAACATTATTCTATGTAATTATATTATAATTATTATTTCATTTAATTTATTCATTCCAATAATAAAGATATTTTAATCATTATATTAAAAAAAATTATTATTCAACTTTTTATATTCAATTACATCAATTATATTAACTACAATAAATATTTTAAATTTAATTATTTTTCTCTCAGTCCAAATAATATCACGAATCCACTCAAATCTCAACTCATTCCAAACATTAAACTCTAACTTTTTAACTCTTATGCTAGAGTATCAATTAATAAACATTGTCTTATTTTTTTTAATTAATTTATTCTATAGAAGAAAAGTTCTCAAAAACTATTACTATGTCCATATGATAGTAAATATAATAAAATAAACAATTTATGTTACTTAGACCAAGAAAAGTAAAATTTAAAAATAAACAATTACAATAAAAATTATTTAATTTTCATATTTTTTTTTATATTATTATGCAAAAGATATATTAGTGTTCAAGATCAAATTAATTTAAAAAATAATAATAAATTAATTAAAATATGAATTATTTTTTTAAATGATTACATATTATTATTATTATTATTATTATATATATATATATATATATATATATATACTAATAAAATTACGAGTAAATTCTATAAATAAATATGAAATCACCCTTAATAAAAACATTGAAATATGAAGTGCAAGTTTTTAAAGTTTATATATTAATTAAAGTTCTTATTTCTATTAAATGTTAGATTTTATCATCTCACAGACTATTGAAAATTATTTTACTTTACTGATTTTTTTAAAATATATCTATATTTATTAAAAATATAATATCAACTTTATATTATAAGTTAGACTTATAAAACCATCTAATTTATTTATAAATTTAAGAAAAATAAAAATTATGATTATAATAATCATCATAAATTTTGTTTGTGATAAAATATTCAATAATTTCTTTAGTTTTTTTATTTATTTAACAACTTTATAATAACAAAAATCTCAAAATAAATTTAGACTAAATTATAATTTAATTTAAATTTTATATTAATTTAAACTTAAATTTAACTAAACAAAATTATATTTTATTTCTATGTTTAATTTAAACAATTTTTTAATAATAATCTATCTAAACTTAATCTTATTAAATAAAAATTTAATATATGAAACTAAAATTATTGTTTTGAAAATTGTATCTTTAGTTTTAAATAACCAGATTTAATGAAATTGATATAAAATAAAAAAAATTTGAGAAAATCAATTAGCACTATTACAAAATATAATTTCCACGTCGTCATTTAACGTAGGTTAAAGCTGAACCGACGTTAAATACAATTTCAACATCGGTTGGTTACAAAACGACGTTGAAAGTTGAATATTGAACATATTCTACGTCGATTTTAGTCAACTGACGTAGAAAATATTTTCACCCAAAAATTCATTTAAATTAGAGAATTGTCATTGACAAAATTTAAATCCAGTATTTTATAGTTGAAAGCTTATACTCCAACCATTAAACTACTATAATTCTCTAATAATAACTTACAAATAAATTATATTTATATACAAATAAATATATATTTGTGTAAATATACATTTATTTGTATATATTTTCTGGAAAGTGTTTTTATTTTTTTTTCGCCAAAAATTCCTTAAGTTAGAGAATTGTCACCGACAGGATTCGAACATAATATTTTAGAGTTGAAACTGATACTCCAACAATTAAACTACTATAATTTTTAAATAATAATTTACAAATAAATTATATTTATATACAAATAAATATATATCCGTGTAAATATATAAATATAAAATATATAAATACAAATATATTTATATATTTTGATATATTTATATGTTGGATGTGAGGATGCGCTCGAGGGTGAAAGTGAGATTGACTCTTGCTTGAGTGAAAATACGTTAAAACTCACGAAAATTCACTCGTTCAAGCCTTGCTTGAGCGAAAATTGGTATT